TATGAGTTTGGTTTTTTGTGTATTGTTTTGTTTTATATCCCACATGTGAATGAATCATACATTTCCTGTCCTTTTCCATCTGACTTATTTCACTTAGCGTAATTTTCACGATCCATCCATGTTGTCACAGGTGGCAATATTTCATTTTTTTATGGCTGAGTAGTATTCTAATATATATATCACATAGTCTTTAATCATCCATCAAAGGACACTTAGGTTACTTCCATGTCTTGGCTATTGCGAATAATGCCCATGTTCATTGCAGCAATATAGTTTTTATCTTTAAATAAAGCAAATATGAAGCAGATAAGATTGCTTTAACTCTGCCCATAGAGTTTCAGCAGTTGCAGAAGTCTCTGTAATGTGGCAGATGGGAGGTGACTGCAGTGGCCTGCATGCATGAAGGCAGACATATGTTCTCTGGGACACCCTGCCGAAGGAGCAAGCTGTAGACATGGGGAGGACATGGGGTTCAGTCTCTGCTTTTCTACCTATTATGTCACTCTGCCTTTTTGGTAAAGGGAAAATATATGTTTGACACCTTTATGGGTTGATATGAAGGTCCAATGACGTATTGGGCTTGAAAGTACTTTGTAAGCAAAAATGATATAGGTAGATGGGTAGTTTGCCTCCCTTTCTTGTGTTCTAAATAGGAACAACTGAAGAGCATGTTCCCTGGAATACAGCTTCCTGTGGAAGCTTCAGAGGCAGCATGGCACCTTCTCCAAGAAGCCTCTTCATCCCTCCTCTGGGGACGCTCAGAGAGGCCGCGGTACTCCTGAGGTTGTCTCCCTTCGGTACTGGTGTCATAAATGATCACTTGTGAGCCACTACTCTGGCTGCTTTTTAATACAGGAAATCTCTTTTCTATTACACGATTTTCAGCCTATTTCATTGTACTTGGTGTATTGCAGGGATTTGTAACACATGTAAGTGTACCTGAATGAACCTGCTCTACACAAGTCCTGATTAAGTTCATCATATTATTTGAACACTTTAAAATAATGGCAGTTCTTCTTTCACCTTGAAAATTAGTGTTTTTATAAATTGGGTTCTAAGCATGTGTGAATAGTTTCAGAATTTACAATATGTTTTAGTCATATGGATGCCTTTGAATAGAAATATCGATCTCTGGTCTGGTTGTTAAACTAATCAATTATTTAGGCTAAAACTCTTCTACCCAAGAACCAGCTTTGGTAACTAAAACCAAAACCTAAAACTTCAAAGAAAGGATGCCAACTCTGACTGCCACCAGTAGATGGTGCTGACGGTCACGGTGGTCCCCTTGGTCCCTGGCACCACAACACCGCATCCTTTCCATCGTCTGGTTCATGTGTCTGTGCTTACTTTTTGTTATTTTAAGAATATTCATAGCCCATCACACCTGATAGGTGTAAAAGCAAAGAGTATATTGGAAGTGCTAGTAAGAAAAGGAATATGAAACAAAAGAGAAAACTAAGATAATAAGGAAAAAGCAAGTAGTAAGAAAACAATGTTGAAGGGATAATTCCAAGGGACAAAGAATAACTCATACAATAGGTTTAAAGTGTTGTACCCATGCCGATGGCTGTAACTGCCAAGTGATGGGGAAGAACTGAAATAGACAACACTTTGGAAAAATGGGTTAGAAAAGCAGTGCCAGATGCCTAGTAGCCTGATGCTAATTCAGGAAACAGCTCACAGTTTGCTCAGCCATGGAAAGGCTGAGCCTGGTGGAGGTGCGGCTGACCAAACCTTGGTCCCAAGTTCTACTAGTTGCACAGGCCCAAATCCTTCTGAACCAAACGATGGAGAGGCTCTGAGTGCAGCTAGTGTGGTCAGGGCATTATTACGGTTCTTGAGGAAGATTTTCAACATAAAAGAAACTGATCCTTTTTGCAAAATGGCAGTGTCCCACAAGCCCTATGTCATTGAGGAAAGGGAGGGTGAGCCTGTTTCTAAAGCTCACATTCCTTATAATGGAGATGTATCCAGGGACTGCAAGAATGAGCCCTCCAAAGCTACCCTGGACTTGTGAACAGACGGACTTACACAAAACCTGGCAGAACAGTTCTAACCTGTTCAAAATAGAGGAACTGGATACTGTACTCTTCTGTTTTAGATACAGAGCAGCTATGTACTTTTTATAATATTAAAATAATAAAAAGTGAGACAGCATGTAAGTAGCCATTGTGAAACCTATAGGATTCATTACTTTGCCAACTAATAAGCATAAGAAATCTCTAACCTGCAACTTATTTTCCTGTCATAGTGGGAAAATGTTGACATAGTGGAAAAAGCATAGACTCTGGCACCAGCCAGCGGTGTGAGCTTAGTCAGCTACTCAGCTCCTCTGAGATTCACTTTCGTCATCTGAAGATTGGGCATGATGCTGCCCATCCGTCAGAGATGTTGCCAGAAGTAAAAGTAATACTACGTCACTAACACGGTGCCTGGTCATAGCAGGCCTCCAGTGACCAGTAGCCACTAGTGGAATTAGCATCAATAGCACTGCCCATGATTCATAAAATCTCTCAGCCGAGAGCTTGACAAGTGTGCCACCAGCAGTTGTACCAGCTTTATCAGCTAATACAGACTAAACTTGTCTCACAAATCGACCAGAAAGGCAATGGTTAAAACACAATAGAATGACTCTTTCTCCCTTAAAACATCCAGGATGGGGTTCTGGTTCAGAAGGGCTCATCACCCAGGGACTCAGGCTTTTGGTGGCTCTGCTTGTCGTTAGTACTAGTGTGACTGCCATCTCGATTCCAGCCCAAAGGAAGGAGGAGGGGCCTGGGTACGTGTGTGAAGGAGGTCCTAGGACCCCAACTGAAGTGGAAAATACCAGTTACACCTTCACTGTATTGGAGATACCTTACTCACATGGGCGCACCGGGCTGGCTGCCTGTGCCTGAGCACACATGCCAGCTACTGCGAAAAAAGGGGTGAAATTGAGGTAGCCGTAAGGTGTATTACATAGCATAAGTACCTAAAGTACACTCTGTGCTCCATGCTGCTTCTTGGTACCAACCTTTTGCTGACAATATGCAATTTCTGATCTATCCCGAAATTTAGCCATGAGTCCTCAGGCACAAGGCACAATGTCATGGTAATATGGGGTGTGGGTGGCTATATTGGGCTCTATAGTCCCATCTTGGACTTGACCCAGACTTTGCACTCAAGCCAGGGACTGGGTGACAGGGGCCTGTGTACCTGACCTGGTTTTAAGAGGCACCTGGTGCCAGATGCCAGCTTAGTCACAATGCCAGAGAGGTTGGCACGTGGCTGGTAGGAATAACATCAGGGAATCCAGACAGTGGATCTGGGAGCCCTACTAGCAGGAATTGCCTCTTGGGAAAGCCATCTAGATTAGCAGAAACCCAGATACCGGGATGGGTAACAGGGTCAGGAGAAAGGGAGGGAGGAATGTGATAAGGCAGGGAAAGTGGGCAGGATGCCCAGGCACCAGACTGGTATTCCAGGCATGCCTCCAGTCTTAGATAGGGAGCAAGGCATATGCAGTTAAATGGCAGAGACTAAGCATTTCCCTCGTCTGACCTAAAGCAGGGCATGGGTAGAGCAGGGATTAAGAGAAAGAAGAGAGTTTAGATTAAAAAGTAATGTTGAGCCAGGCCAGCGTGGCTCAGTGGTTGAGCATCAACCTATGAACCAGGAGGTCACGGTTTGATTCCCAGTCAGGGCGCGGGTTGTGGGTTTGATCCCCAGTGTGGGGCGTGCAGGAGGCAGCCGATCAATGATTCTCATCATTGGTGTTTCTATCTCTCTTTTCCTCTCTGAAATCAATAAAAAAATATATACTAGTGGCCTGGTACATGAATTCATGCACATTGAAAGGAAATTAATTAGAAGAAATATTTTAATATTGCTATTCACCTTTTCTCTATAATAGAAGTGTCAACCAAATTCATGATCAACAATGACAGATCAAAATACACGCGTGTGACTGGCACCATCAAGAGCTTTATATGTATCATGCATGTGCCAGTCAACTTAGCCTTTTATTTATATAGATAGATAGATAGATATAGATATAGATATATAGAATAAGCTTGCTTAATTAGACCTGCTTTCTGATTTAGCTAAACTTTTCCCAGCCCACTGAAGCACCCCAACTTCTCTTTCAGGTAATTGTCAGCAACACAGCAGTAAATATCAATACAAAGCAGATTATTATTGTAGATCACGCAGGGAGAACAAAGGGTGAAATATTTAACTGCAGCAGTGTTTGAATATATTCTGCACAGTGACAAAACCTGAAGTCATTTTCAAGGTCCACCATTTCTTACTTCTTTTCAGTCAGGTCAAGTTTCTAAGCTTTCTAAATCTCCATTTTCTGGCTAATGCAAAGAAAATAGGATTCCACCAAGTCTCCTATCTACCTACTCCAGGACTTCTGTGAGGATCAAATGAGATGAGGCATGGGAAAATGCTTCACAGACATTTGGTTACAGTGTAAAATGTTTCCACCTAGTTATAAAGCAAGTCAGGTTCCTGGGCTAAAGAAACTCCAAGGAGGCTAGGTGCTAGGGAGAGAAAGCTGGGCATTGCTACATGTTGTCATTACCTGGATGGAAACTTAGTATATTAGTCTTTTATATATATATATATATATATATATATATATATATATATATATATATAAATATTTTTAAAAAGCAGTAATGTTGACATCTAGAAGTCATCCCAGGGACCCCAGTGCCCACTGGGAGCAAGCCACACAAACCTGCTTGTCATGAGCAAACCACCAACTCCTGGCTCTGGGTAACAACTGATTGCTAAGCCCCACTGAGCTGGGGGCTGAAGCTGCACATCCCCACTGCCTCCGTCCGAATTGGCTCAGGAACTCAGGTGTTGGTGGGACTCTGGTGGGTCCAGCTGTGAGGGTGGGGGTGGCATTAGGGCACCCTAATGGGAAGGAGGGAAACATTAACAGATTCTTTTCTGAAACTGCATTGCAGCTCTAAACGGTATAAAAATATGTTTCATTTAATTTTTAGTCACCTTCCAGTTCCTCAAGAAATATTCAACAAATGTTGGCAGATTCTATCAATCGTATGAAGGCATATGGATTTCACCAGGTAAAGGAATTTACGTTCCATCTTCAGGGGGCTAAATGCATTGCCATTTCACTAATGTTTCACAAATTGCTATATTAGTCGCATGCAGGAATGAATTTAAGCAGAGGAGGTGAACTCTGTCTTTAAAAGCGTGTGAGCCTCGCTATTCATCTTTGCTGCTTTATCTGGAGTTGAAGGTGTCTTGAGTGTCATGGAAAGAACAGATGCCAAGACAGCCGCTAGACTCCTGACGAAGGTCTAACACGAGGTGGTAGCCTGGGCTGCTGCAAACACTGTGGGAAGACTGACTTCAGCGAGAGATAAACGAGGCACAGACTTGGCAGAAATAGTGACTTCAGACTAAGTTCCTTATGTGTTCATTGTTTCTATGAGCCTGTCCCTTTACGGCGACCAGCCTCTTGTACCATCTGTGTCCACTGTGCCAGAGGCCCTCCGGGCACTCAGAGCTCTCTCCTTCTGGCCAGACGTGATCCTACAGGCCGGGCCCACTGCCTCATTGTGCTAGACTGGAACTGCATCATCCACTGCTCACAATCAATGAGCATAGGCTGGTGCTTGCAAACTGTGGTAGGATTTGACCCGCAGAGAGTCTGGAAAAGCAGGGTCAGATATGAGGCTGTACAGAGAAGGTTCCGAGTGACCACAGGCCTGAGATGGGGGCTGTGGTGGAGGCAGGCCCCTGGGCTGTGTTCCAGTGGACAGTGAGATCGATTCCCTGATTTCTCGGTAGGGACATACATGAAGTTGGATAATTCGCACAAACGAGACTTCAAGAAATCATGGTGAAGTTTTGGAGCTATGGTCCTCTAGGTATAATACGTACCTCTTTCCAAAACAGCAGCAATAGAGTATTATTCAGTAATGCTGCCTGAGGTACATTAAATCATTTTAAATGAGCACAGGTGAGAAAGACAAAGGAGCTGTGTCCATTCTCCATCATTTGTTGAGTTTCCCCCAAATGCTAGGCACTGTTAAGGGCATTGGAGACACAGTGAGCAAAACAGATAAAAGCCCTGCCTCGGGAAGCTTGTATTCCAGTAGGGGGATACAGACAATAAACATTTCTACGAAGTCAGCTGGTCATCAGTGGTGTGGAGGAAAACAAGGCAGGATAAGGGAGCAGAGGAATGCTGGGAAGGTGGGAATTGGTTTCTTAGACACATGGCCAGAGAAGGCCACTCTGAGAAGGGGATGTTGGAGTAGAGACCTGAAGAAATGAAGGGAGGGAGTTACGTGGATGGATGGGGGGAAAGTATGTTCCCAGCAGAGGGAACAGCAAGTATGAAGGCACAGAGGCTCACTTGACATGGTCAAGGAATGGCAGAGAGCTCAGTAAGTGAGAAGAGAGATAAGGGCTGAGAATCACAGAGACCCCTCATATAAGGAATTTTGTGTATGGGTAATATTTCAAGCCCTGATGATAGATGAGATCATCTGGAAAGTGAGTTTAGATGGAAAAGAGAAGTGGTCTGAGGCTGGAGGCCCATCGGTGTTTAGACTGCGCCTGAGGTTTCCTGTCTCTAAAATAAGGATGGTGGACTGGATCAGTGGTGCCCAAACACTTTTAGGTCTGAGACAGCCAGGCTCTCACAGTGCTCACATCTTCTCACGAGAATGCCCAGGACGTGTGCCATTTCATTCCTTCTCTCACTTAAGAAATTACATCAGAATTCAAGAGAATGACTGAGCAGGTCACGTACCAAGCTTCTCTGTAGAACAAAGGTAATAAAACAGAGCCTCCCTACTGCAGGGGTCCGGAGAGGGTCTTATGAGGAACTGGCCCGCAGGCCAGGACGAGAGGCCTTCTGAAGGAGATGCCTTAGTAGCTGGATCTGCCCCCTGTCTGTCTCCACACCTCGGCCAGGAACCTGGCCCAGCGTCCAGCCTCAGCATGGCTGCCTCTGCACTCCCCACCTTCACCCTGACTCCCCAGGCCTGGCTCACAGCCCCCGTCCTGTGCCTTCACCCTGACTCCCCCAGGCCTGGCTCACAGCCCCCGTCCTGGGCCTTCACCCTGACTCCCCCAGGCCTGGCTCACAGCCCCCGTCCTGGGCCTTCACCCTGACTCCTCAGGCCTGCCTCACAGCCCTCATCCTGGGCCTTCACCCTGACTCCCCAGGCCTGGCTCACAGCCCCCGTCCTGTGCCTTCACCCTGACTCCCCCAGGCCTGGCTCATAGCCCCCATCCTGTGCCTTCACCCTGACTCCCCAGGCCTGGCTCACAGCCCCCATCCGGGGCCTTCACCCTGACTCCCCCAGGCCTGGCTCACAGCCCCAATCCTGGGCCTTCACCCTGACTCCCCCAGGCCTGGCTCACAGCCCCCGTCCTGTGCCTTCACCCTGACTCCCCCAGGCCTGGCTCACAGCCCCCATCCTGGGCCTTCACCCTGACTCCCCCAGGCCTGGCTCACAGCCCCCGTCCTGTGCCTTCACCCTGACTCCCCCAGGCCTGCCTCACAGCCCCCATCCTGTGCCTTCACCCTGACTCCCCCAGGCCTGGCTCACAGCCCCCATCCTGGGCCTTCACCCTGACTCCCCCAGGCCTGGCTCACAGCCCCCATCCTGGGCCTTCACCCTGACTCCCCCAGGCCTGGCTCACAGCCCCCGTCCTGGGCCTTTACCCTGACTCCCCCAGGCCTGCCTCACAGCCCCCGTCCTGGGCCTTCACCCTGACTCCCCCAGGCCTGGCTCACAGCCCCCATCCGGGGCCTACATGCTCCCAATAAAATACTTCTAAAGAGGAAATGAGAGCTGTCTAAATAGAGGAAGTAAAGATCAACCTGTAAAGATTTGCTAAAAGTTTTCTGAAGGAATTCTTAGAGACACTCCGGACAAGTTGTTAAGTTTTCTGGCTGCTGTGAGTGAGTACAGTGGTCAAGGCCAGGTCTCATCTGCCGTCACTCTGAGAAACTCGTTAATTTTGTCTCCTTCCCACGGTGCCCATACACAATTACACTGTAGACTGAAAAGGAGTATGACTTTCTAAGTATAGCATGCTCAAACACTGTAGTATCATCTGCATTATTAACTTAATATTACCCTTAGGTAGACTCATTTGGTAAATTTCTTGCTTCTTCTAAGCAATAATATTTATGATGTCATAGTCTAATGTTATAACTACATTTTTTCTAGTAATTTTAAATGATTTATTTATTTTTAAAATATATTTTTATTGATTTCAGACAGGAAGGAAGAGGGAGAGAAAGAAACAATAATGAGCGAGAATCATTGATGGACTGCCTCCTGCATGCCCCCTACTGGGGATTGAACCCACAACCCGGTCATGAACCCTTGACAGGAATCAAACCTGGGACCCTTCAGTTCCAGGCTGATGCTCTATCCACTGAGCAAAACTGGCTAGGGCTAATTTTAAATAATTCAAAAATATACATGTGGAGCCCTAGCCAGTTTGACTCAGTGGATAGAGCGTCGGCCTGGGGACTGAAGGGCCCCAGGTTCGATTCTGGTTAAGGGCACATGCCCAGGTTGTGGGCTCGATCCCCAGTAAGGGGCGTGCAGGAGGCAGCCAATCAATGATTATCTCTCATCATTGATGTTTCTCTCTCTTTCTCTCTCTCTCTCTCTCTCTCTCTCTCTCTCTCTCTCTCTCTCTCTCTTTCTCTCAGTCTCTCTCTCCTCCTTCCTCTCTGAAATCAATAAAAATATATTAAAAAATAAATAAAATTTTTAAAAATAAAAGCAAAGCTCCACTTTTTAAAAATTTTACTTTTCAATTACAGTTTACATTCAATATTATATTGGTTTAGTTTGAGGTGAACAGCATAAGAGTTAGACAATCATAGACTTTACAAAGTGTTCCCCTGATATTTCAAGTACCTACTTGGCACCACAGATAGTAATTACAATATTATTCACTATAAAGCTCCACTTTATGTTTCAGGGTATGTTTTCTTTTTTCTTTTTAAGCTTAGACATTGCTAGCAGCACTGTATTTGTGTTGCAGGCTTGTAAACAGCTTCAGTAAGGGGATCTCAAAGTTATGCCGTCATTTTAAATACCAAAAGCTGTTCTCTGGCTTTTATAATATTGGTAAATCAGGGAACTTAGCTCAAGGCAGGAAAAGAGTATAAGAAAAAAATGAAAACAGTAAATAAACAAAAGTTTAGTTATATTTGAGGTGAAGTACAATTTATGAATTATCAACTTTTACATCAACTGTGATTTATGACTTCTCACAATAATTAAAAACAGGTTTCACAACATCAAGGTTTCGGTTTTAATTCCAGTGAAATAATTTCATAGCAAGAAAGCCTTTACCTTTCTATAGGAAAACACAGAGGAAAAACACCGCTGTCATTTTTGCGATGGAGAATGAAACAACCTCCCCTTCCCTCTCAGTTCGTGTCCTTCCTTAGCGAACCATGGCTTTCCTTTAGTGCGCCAAGTTGTAAATCCAGTTTTCTTAGGAGTCCTCAGAGGCTGGATCCAAATGAACACAGTACAGTTAGGCCTCAGTGATTTGATGTGCTAGTCTCTCTTTAGTTAAAAACTAATTCCCTTGAATGTTCCTAATGCTACAGACCTGTACACTTAAAAGTGGTTAAGATGGTAAACTTTATCTTACATATATTTTACCACAAAAAAACCCGAATTCCTTTTTAAGGGAAGACTTGTGTTTCTTTCCTATATTTTCCATGTTTCTTATTTTATATTTCCCATTCTCAAAGAGGATGTTTTTTTAAAAATATCTGACTCATTTTTTTAGAACAAAAAAACATCCCCTTTGAGTCACCTAAACCATGTGCAAGCAGCATGTTTTCAGACACAAGGTTCGAGGGCCCGTGGAGAACAGCTGAGACGGCTGTAGGAAGGTGCCATTATTCCGTGGAGCCATCAGCAATCGTAATGTTTAACCTGCGGCCATAAAATGCTATTTGCACTCTACTTCAGGGGACTCCATTTAAAGCAGATAAGTGCTATGTCTCAGAAAAAGGAATATTTATGGAATTCTTACTATCCGTTACACACTGAGTTAGGCACTTTTAAAAAAATTATTTACCCCTCACTAAAACCCTAGGAAATATTCTGAATTTGCTAATTTGTCTCTGGGGAAACCAGCCTGAGAGAGGTTTGGTACCCAGCAGTGGAGATGTGCAATCAGATGGCAGGAGCCGGCTCCAGGTGCGGCGGGCACCTGCTCTCCCCGCAGTGCTCCATGGCCTCCTGGGGCCAGGGGCATTAGACAGGAGTCAGGGGCCTAGAGGCCTCCTCTTAGAGGGAAACTGCCACACTTACTCACTAGTGCTTGTTTCTGGTTTTTTTTAATCAGAAGAAAGAATCCACGAAGAAAACACAAGATGAAGAAATAAAACAAGTAGATGAAGAAAGAACCAAGCAGATTTATAAGAGCTGGAAGGAAGATTCGGAGTGGCAGGCATCTTGTGAGTACCCAGAGGCCTCTCAAAGCCGATTGGTTCACGAAATGAAATGACCAATCTGCAAAGCACTGAAAGAGGTCACTGAGAGACGTTTTAAAATTATTACTGAAAGGCTTACGAGCCATTGTCGAATGGCAAAAAGGTGCTCGATTCATCTTTGGGCCATCAAAATGATGACCTGTCTACCTGATAGGATGCTGTGTAGCTATGAAAAGAAAATAAACAGGTTTCCAAAAAGCATTTTATGACCTTGGAATATGTTTATATATTTTTAGCTTGGAGAAGAAAAAAGCATTATAGAATAGTATGCAAGATACCTCTATTTTCAGATGTCTAAGTATCTAAAGGAAAAGAACTGGAAGGCTCTTTAACGTGTTAACATTTGAGAGGTGGGCTCCAAGATTACTTACTTGAATTCTTCTTGTTGTTATTCTGTGATTTTCTAAATTTTCCACAGTGAATACATCTTAACTTTGTAATCAGAAGTGCACAGGAGAAACAGGCTGGATGTCTTAGCATCCTTCCCAAGCCTATGACTGACCCTGACACCTTTTTGAATTAGCACGGCCAGAGGTAACCCCCCCACACCCCCACACCCTCACCCCCCGGGAAGAAGTCAGAGCAGGTGAGGGCAGAGCAGAGGTGCGGAGGATGCCTGGCGAATTCAGGTTTGAAATGGGACTAGGGTTTCCACTGGACTCACACAGAAGCCTGAACTGCCAGAGCGGCCCTGTGGCAGCTGGAGGAAGAGGGTGGCAGTGTTTGCAAGAGGCTGAGAATCCTGAATCGATCTTCAGTTCCATTACAAGGAACACCCTTCAAAGGACAATTTTCGTGAAATGAAAACATTTGCAAGAGCCAATCACTTGTGTGTGGTGAAATCCTAGCCTAATGGAACATCTTGGGCATCTCTTTGAAGTCAAACATAACAGGATTTGACTACTGATGCCTGAAATGTAAATATACTCAAGAAAAATTATTGTTATATCCTGCATTACAGTCCTGTAATACTATGTTGCTAAACAAAAGCAAAGTAAAACAATAAACCCTCTATTTACAGAGCAATAGGGAGAGGCAGCCTTGGGGTGCTTTTATGTGTACCAACCCACTTTATGATGGTCTGTGGTCAGAATCACTTTACTTTATGGGCTGACAGGCTCAGCTCACTGTGGGCTCCGCCTGTGGCTGGTGGTGAACCGCCCTGCCCGACCACCCTCAGCACAGCCTGAGCCACTGACGACTTCCTGACAGCTTGATTTTTGCTCAGGACTCAGAGCACGTGTGACATCCCGAACTCTTATTTGTGTGAAGGGTTTATCGCCTCTTATTATTCAAAGACCCTCTGCCAACTGGAATTCTCACTCGGGCTGTGACTCATCACAGGCTTGCCACCTGCAGGAAATTCTCCAACCAAGGGTTCCACATTTCTGTCTTGTCCCTTCCTCCTCCTCTTCCTTCTCTTTCTCTCTCTCAGAAAGTCCCCGAACTCCCACATAAAGAGGAATTCTGCACTGAGCACCAGGCAGTGGTGAATGCGCAAGCCCCGACTGTCTGGATAATAGGCGGTGGTCATGATTGCTCATTGTTATCCGCAGACGCCAGAATCTGCTCTCCAGCTGTGATGCTGATTCTTCCAACCTTCTCTGGGGGTTGGCGAGGGGCTTTCTCAGACCTTTTGTCTTTCTAGTGCGAAAATCCAAAGCAGCTGATGAGAAGAGACGCTCCTTGGCTAAGCAGGCACGGGAAGACTACAAGAGGTTATCCCAGAACGGAAGGAGCAGTGAGGGACTGCAGAGCCCCTCCAGTGTCCCTCTGAAACCAAAGAGACCCCCCCTTCCACCCAAGCCAAAATTCCTGAACCCAGCGGAATACCCTCCCAAGCCTTTCAGGTGAGAGGCCACGCCGATGGCTTTAAGGATAAGGGTGGAAATGAGCTGAGTAACCCAGTTCAGCCTCTCCTCTCCTCTAAGCCTGTCTTCCTGAGATGCCTGGTCTGGCACTCCTCCCCTTCTTATCTCTAAAACATCCACAGTTGTCATAACTAACATACCCAGTAACTTGGTGAAGATGCACCTCGAATTCGCTAACTTCCTGTGCCACCAGCCATCCCCACCTGGTGGCAGCGAGTGAGCCAGTGAAGGGACAGGAGGAGACAACTACAGTTCCATCGATTGCCAATATCGCTCTTAGTAGCAAAAGAACATCAGAGTAGGGACCTAAGGGCTTGCTAACTTGCATGTTGTCGGTAGAGCCATTTTCATTGCTCAGGATCAAGGTTTGGTGGTAATTCTCACTCTGGAGTACGTAGGTAGCCTCACATGTTAAGAATTTGGATGAACTCTTTGATACCCAACTTTAAAAAAAATATATATTTCTTTATTGATTTCAGAGAGGAAGGGAGAAGGAGAGAGAGATAGAAACATCAATAATGAGAGAGAATCATTGATCGGCCGCCTCCTGCACACCCCCTACTGGGGTTCGAGCCTGCAACCCAGGCATGTGCCCTTGGCCGGAATTGAACCTGGGACCCTTCAGTCTGCAGGCTGATGCTCTATCCACTGATCCAAGCCGACTAGGGCTTGGATGAACTCTTCGAATGAACTCTTTGATTGCTGACGATGGTACTTTTGCCTCCTGGGTGAGGCAAAACAATTCCTAAAGAAAAAGTGCCATCAAAATCACAGCAGAAACCAATTATAAAATTATTTTCTCCTGGTTACTGATACATGTTTGTTTTATATTCTAATATATAGAAAGATGGCATGCAAAATAACCAGGAGAAACCAAATATTGACTGAATGAAACAGGACTTTCTATAAAGCCTTGCCTTCGGAAATAAAAACTGAAAATGCTCCTCAGTTGTGAGGGTGGAAAAATAAAAAAACAAAGTTTCCCTTCGCTTGGAGTCAGTAGTTTTCGGCAAGGTTTTTCCCTGGTAAGGTGTGACCTCAGGGGTAACATGAGGTGGACCTTTTCCTATATAATTATTTCTGCTCACTCAATGGGGAAGGGCCATTTTGGGACTAAATGACCATCTTCTACAAAGTGACAGTTTGGGGAACGACTTTTTTCTTATGGGCAACAAAGCCAGGAAGGTAATCAGGAAGCAGGTCTCCCGGCAGTTTTGTGACCAAGTTACACAGACGTGAGCTCCTGCGGGGCCCGGGCCAGCACCTGAGCTGGTCTGGGAGCATTGGCCACGGACCCCGGCGGGAGGCGAGTACCCGCCTCTGTTCTCCAGGCTTTACCCAGGCGGGAGAAATACCTGTGCCCTCGCCCGCAATATTTTTAGAGCACAGTGTGTGTGATTGACAGCCACGAAGGTGGCCTTTACTGAGGGGCAATTCTTGTCTTAAGCTGTGCTCATTTAGCTCATTCTTTCCAACTTAAGACACTTGTATGAAACGCTTCCTGTACGGCAGCCAGACTGGATGGTTTTAGGGCTGGCACTTTAAACAGTGGTGACGGAGGTCACCTAGGAGCCAGCCCAGGAAATCATCACGGAGGTCGGCTATCCTTGGAGTTTTCCCTTGATCTTCAAAGATTCCTCAAGGAAAATAAAACTAATTTGAAAGCTAGTAAGAAAATTTATGTATTTTCAAGTGACACAGTGTCTGCTTCCAGGAAAGTCAAATATTATAGGCTCTTCTAAATGTTCTGTATGTATATAGATGCATATGTATATGCATGTATGTCCATCTGATATATATGTCACATATAACTCATGGTAGCATATGTTACCATAAAAGTATAAAGAGCCATAACGTTAATTTACCATGAAAGGACATTCCAGTAGTTCGTCCAAACTAGTTGTTGTTGTTTTTACATGGAAATCTGTTCAAATAGTGGGCTGTTGTGTGGCACTTGGAATATGTGGATTACATTGCAATGGTACTTTTGTAATGGAACTTCGGTTCTGCTATTACCCAATTGATTTCCAAAGGCTTCGACTTTCTCTTCCCAATCTCAAAACACTCTTCTCCCTTTAACTTTGTATTTCTCAGGCTGTCTTTTAACAGAACTAAAACTCTTCCAAGTGTGTTTGAGGAGAAACCAAGTAGGGGAGGTGAGTGGATAGAGAAAGAAGAGAAAATCGAATAATGAAAATGTTAGGAAAGAAGCTTGTTTTATTGCATTTGCTTTATTGTGTTTGCAAGAGCATGCTCTCTAGGAAAACAGTGCTGGGCTGCATTTTACTTTTTAATGTTTATTTTCTCAAGTTTTAATCAGGAGTTAATGGAGCTTCTAATTCATACTAAAAATAAATTAAAATCCATGTGTTAACACAGCAGTAGTGCATACCCAAGACTAGCCCTGTGGAGCTAGAAGGACACGAGACAGACTTATTTTCTGTTCTTGAGGAGTTTGGCACGGTGTGCAGGTGTCCAACCTCCCATTAGCTCAGCCCATGTGATTATATCTTTAAATGTCTATAATTCTCCTGTCTCTCTCTTTCTCCCCCCACCCCAAGCAAAAGTTAACAGTTGTTCATTGGAAAATAATACAATTAATTAATAAATAAGAATATAAGAATATACTCTCTTTTGCATACTTACAACTGTAAACCTACTTTTGTCCCGCTCTGTATATACGTTTTTGAAGGCATTATTTTTAAAGTAGATAAGTCTAACTTGATAAATGGTTCTATAAATAACAGAAATCAGGCAGTGACAAGGACAGCACCCAGCGCTGCCCAGGAGGACATCATCCGATGGTTTAAGGAGGAGCAGCTGCCCCTGCGAGCTGGCTACGAGAAGACCTCCGACACCATAGCCCCCTGGTTCCACGGTGAGTGCGGAAGGCCCTTCGGCGGCACCTCCTCTGAGGGTGGATAGAAGTGCTGACCCGCCGGCAAGGCAAGAAGAGTACAGGCTTCCTTTTGTTTGGGCTGCCCAAGAAGTCTTTGAAGTTATCTTCTCAAGGCAGTTTTTTCAAAAGTTTCTCAGTGAGCGACATTCTCATGGCTATTTAGAAAAAGCAGGAAAGCAGTGGTGGTCGCTGCACGCACCGTAGGTTAATTCATCACCACAGATAAAACTCCTCCAGGTGGGTGGAGAGAGCAGTGCCAGGGCTCTTGACTGTAATTCCCATCAAAGGGCACCGCCTTCCGTCCACGGAGGGAGTCTGAGCTGGTCCTTGGGCATGGTGGGCAGGACATGGGTGGGGCACCAAGAAAGTCAGCGGTCCAATAACTAGTTGAGTGACCTTGAGCAAACTGTCTTCCTTCTCCACAGCAAATCAGCTTATCTGAGCCTCATTTTCCTCTTCTGTTACATGAAGGAATTGTGATCTTTAACTTAAAAATTCTGTGCTTTTGATCTTTGTTTCCAGTCATACGTAGTGAAGGTTGCACAGTGGGTTCGTTGGAACCTGAGCAGATATTGGCTAATAAACTATTTCTTTATTTGACCCAAGAAACTTGATTAATTCAAGTCCCTGTCTACACAGCTCACATTTCACTGACCTCTCAGTTTCTTGGACTTCAAAGAAAGGAAGTGTTGTTTTTGTTTCTTTTTGTTGTTGTTTCTGTTGGTTGTGTTTTGTTGTTGTTGTTGTTGTTGTTTGCCTCGTTTGGCCTCATAAGTCTGTGGTTAAACTGGACCAAGTGGCTCTATCTACAATAAAAATACTTTAAACAAAAACAAAGTGCTCTCACAGAGCAGGTTTGTCCTGAAGGCAATCTTGGTTGGAATGATGTTAATGCCTCTCTCTTTTAAGTAGCATCATCTCACACATAAATATGTCTACAAACTAAGCTCCCAAATATATAACAGGCAAACTCTTCCAAAAAAAACACAATTGTTTGTGGTAGGCTTTCTGCTGAAGTGCTGCTTTTGCAGTTAGAACATTACAGCAGAGCTGGCTGTAACCTGGAAAACACTTGTTCTTGGCGATTCAGGCTTTCGGAAGTGTCCCTTCCCAAATGAGCTCCCCTCCCTCCCAGGACCAGGTCGTAAACCTCCTTCCTTCCCATTTTTCTTAAAGAAATTGGGAGAAAGATAGCATCAAAAGATAGATAAAACACGGGTCAGTTACCTATTTGTCCTGGCTATCACCACTTGTCTCAAATTGCATTTTTTAATTTTCCTTTTTAAGATAAGAACTGAGGAAATCAGCCACTATGTAGTTTCTATGTCACTGGGAAGAAGATGCCCTTATCCCCAACGATAAGGGTGGTGGTTTAACAGCAGGGAGTGAGAAAATGAAAATGTCGGTTGATGTTATGAAAAATCCTGGTACTTTAACAGGCAGCTCTATTTAAAACTATTTGCTAAAACCTGGGACACAGTTGGACTAAAAATCCAGCTAGAACTTTGGTTTAAAAATAAGACTCTTGAGTTTTACACATGAAAACTTATTAGTTGCACAATATCATCTCATCTGCGAATAATGACAGTATTACTTCTTCTTTTCCAATTTGGATACCTTTTATTTCTTCTACTTGTCTGATTGCTATGGCTGGCACTTCCAATACTATGTCAAATAGGAGTGGTGAAAGTGGGCATCCCTGTCTTGTTCCTCTTCTTAGGGGATATGGTTTTAGCTTTGGCCCATTGAGTATGATGTTAAGATACCTAGGAATAAACTTAACTAAGGAGGTAAAAGACCTGTACTCAGAAAACTACAAGACATTGAAAAAAGAGATAGAGGTAGATATAAACAGATGGAAGAACATACCATGTTCATGGATTGGTAGAATCAACATCCTTAAAATGTCCATACTACCCAAAGCAATCTACAGATTCGATGCAATCCCTATTAAAATATCAATGGCATATTTCACAGACCTAGAATTCTCCAAAAATGTATATGGAATGAAAAAAACACACACCAAATATCCAGGTAAATCTTGAGAAAAAAGAAAAAGGCAGAGGGATCACAATACCAGATATCAAACCATATTACAATGCCACTGTTCTCTAAATGGCCTTGTACTGGCACAAGAACAGATATGTAGACTAATGGAACAGAACAGAGAACCCAGAAATTGACCCAAGCCATTATGCTCAATTAATATTTGACAAAGGAGGCAAGAGCATGCAATAGAGTCAAGATAGTCTCTTCAATAAATGGCATTGGGAAAATTGGACAGATACATGCAAAAAAATGAAACTAGACCACCAACTTACACTATACACAAAAGTAAACTCAAATGGATAGAAGACTTAAATGTAAGACAGGAAACCATAAAAATCTTAGAAGAACCCATAGGCAGCAAAATATCAGACATAACTCAAAGCAGTATGTTTACCAAGACATCTCCTAGAACAATGGAAACTAAGGATAAAAACTTATTAGTTGCTTTGTTATTGACTTATTTTCATTCATACAAATATTTATCATGGCATAAGCAAAATAAATAAAATATACAATAAAATATGTGTAAGTATAATAAATACAAAACCATGTAGTCACTATAAGTCATTGTCTTCAGTTTCAGGAAGACAAATTTCACATATTTCTGTGATAAAGATGGATCATGGCTTATCTTTTTGAAGTATGATTATTTATAAGGAACCCTGTTTGGAAATATTGGAATAGAAACTCTCCTTTATTGGCTTACCATCTTCCTTTCATTGTCATAAGTTACCCTTCCCAAGTTATTGCTTCAGTCACCTAACTTTTCACCCCATAGAAGTTCATGCTTTCACCCTTTTCTCTTAAGTAGCTTTAGGTAAGGGTAGGCATGGGTCAGAGAGGACAAGGGAAATGAGGATACTGGGTCACTGGCTTGTGGGGCTGAGTGGAAGGGGGCTTGCTGTCAAATGAGAGAAGGGACATAGGAGTCTGAGGAAACGTAGGGAAGGGGAGAAGAGGGAAGATAATGAGCTCATTTGGGATAAAATGAGTTTGAAATGTCTTTGGGACAGACGTGAAAATATCCATTTGGCAGATTAATGGATCAGTGCTAGAGATAACAGATTGGAGTGGACAGCACATAACTAAAAGCACGAGGGATGAGATGTTTCCAGCAGTTGAGTTGAGAATAATGATAGAAGACCCAGGACAAAATCCCAAGGAGCCCTAACATCCAGTGCAGTGGAAGAGAAGAGCAGAGAGCACAGATCTCTGTCTCACTTCTCCTTTGCTACTTGGGGGTCATAATGAAGCAAAATGGTGTACGGCTTGGCAATATCCTGCCATGGGTGCATACTCTGTGCTGTGATGCCAGTTTTGTAGTTGGTGAAATGGGCATTGCCTCTGAACTCCTAGATGTAGGATCTTGATGAAAAATCCCATGATCAAGCGAGATCCTGGAATATGCAAAGACTCCCCCCATCTACGTCTCCCTCAGCAAAAACTAAAGTTTTTTTTTTTTACAGACCATTGATCCCACGTTTCACTGGACTTCTGGTCCCACTGGTGATGTGGCACGTGGGGCAGAACACATGGGAAAGATTCTCAAGTTCTTTTTCGTATTTTGTTAGTTTTCCTTACAGCAGTTTCTAACTCTCACGTGGATCAGTTGGGTGTTGGGACCCAGATGGAATAATGCAGAAACCTGCTGGCCATCTCTTGGCTGCTTCAGGGAGTGTGTTGGAGACCAGGGACCTAATTCCAGGTCAGATGCACTCATTCCTTCCCTGGACACTTTTTCCACCTGCCTCAGGGGAAGGTCCTCCCTGCAGATTCATAGCCCAGCTCACTACAATGTGCAAGCACAGGATCCTGAAGAACACATGGAAGCCCCAGCAGTTTGGGCAGAAGGCCTTGTGAAGGAATTTTGTAGCTGGTATTTTTCTGATTTTTAAAAAAATATATTCTACAAATTAATGTTAGTTAATTTGGACATCTTGTACTCATAGTCATTTAGGAGGACTGCTGGGAATACTGCGGTGTATCTTGCCCAGATCCTTCAAAGGCAAAGAGTTCTGAACTTTATCATGTGAATAACAAGGATTATCTATGTCAGTCCCTCATCTGGCCTCTTATATCAGCCTCCTAACCAGTCTCCATCTTTCTTCTGCGGCCCCCCAATCCTCCACGTAGTCAAACTTCAATTACAGTGAAACCCAAGCTCCTCCTTATGGACCACAAGAGCCTACCTGTTCTGCCCCCGACAACTATTTCAGACTCATCTCAAATTGCTTCTCCTACCTTGCTCACTGCTCTGCACCATATGTGTCACTTCTGAGGCTGACACACCACACTTGTCCCTTCCTAAGGGCCTTTGTAGTTGCTCTTCTCAGGGCCACTTCTTAAGAAACTGGCTCATATGACTGTGGAGGCTCACTGGGTCCCAAATCTGCTGGATAGGCAAGCAGGCTGGAGACTCGGGGAAGACTGGCAGCTTGAGGCCAAAGGCTGACCACTGGCAGATTTCCTTCTTGCTCATTCATCTCCTAGTCTGTGATTTGTCTTTTAACTTTTGGGCACATTTTGAAGCATCGAAGTTTTATACTTCAGTGAGGTTGAGTTTAGCTGTTTTTCCTTTATGGCTTTTACTTGTGGCATAATACACAATCCACCTGTAATTTATTTTGTATATGATATTTGGTGTAGAATCCTAATTTATTCCTTTGCATAGAAAGTGGCCAGTTGTCCCAACATCATTCATTAAATAGCCCTTCTTTTCTCCACTGAGTTACAATGCGATCTCTGTTGTATGCCAAGATACTGTATGTGGGGATTACTAATAAGTCTCTATGTCCTGCTTCTCTGAAATTGTCTTAATGACCCCTTTATTTACTCACACGGCTTTTAGTGAAATATGTCAAGTTTTCAAACCTTTGTTGAAATTTTGAGTGGAATTACATTGAATGTGTACATTAATTTAAAGAGATAATTGCCATCTTATGTTATGTATTCTTTTCATCCAAGAACATGGTAAATCTCTCCTTATATTTATTTAAAATTGTTAAGTAAATTCCCCATGCAGAACAAGTATCTTTTACAAAAAAGCAAGCTAGATTTAGTGCTGTGTATTTGTAATTATTTCTATTTTGAATGGGATTTTTAAAACCACATAATTGGTAGTTGTAGGTGTAAGGAAATTATGTTTTTATATATTTAGCTTGAATCCAGTAATACTTAGTGATTCTAATTGTCTGCCAGAGATTTTGTTGGAGCTATAATTTTTTTGAGATCCTAATGTGTGCCAAGCATTATATTGAACGCTTTTAAAGGAGGTAATTTTTTTAGAATATATTTTTATTGATTTCAAAGAGGAAGGGAGAGGACAGAGAGATGAAACATCATTGATGAGAATCATTGTTTGCCTGCCTCCTGCATGCTCCCTACTGGGGATCAAGCCTACAACCTGGGCATGTGCCTTGACCAGGAATCAAGCCACACAGGCTGGGCTAAAGGAGATAATTTTTATTCCCATTTTATAGAGTAAGAAGATATTGAGTTCTTCTCCAGGCTTCTACCACTAGTTGTGGCAAAGTCAATAGTCAGGTCCAGATCTATTTAACTTCAAAGCCACAGCATGTCCGAGTTATTTCAGGTCTCTCGGGTCTATTTAACCTTTTCTGTGCAAAAAGTAATTCTCCTGGGCCTGTTATGGAGCCCACCTTCACTCCCAAGGGCTTTAGAGCTGTGCTGTTCAATATGGTAGCCATTAGCCCTATGTAGCTCTTTACATCAAAATGAATTAAAATTAAATAAAATGAAAAGTTAAGTCCCTTAGTCACACTGGCCACATTTCAGGGGCTCCATGGCCACACGTGGCTAGTGGCTACCCATGGACAGCACAGACACGATTCCATCATCACAGAAAATCCTGTTGGGTAGTACTGTCCTAGAGAGTACCTGGGCCTCATGCAGAGAGGAGTGGGCATTTCTCTCTGCTCCCTCTCAACCCTCCCTGTTACGACCAGGCTTCCAGGAGTGTTAGCTCCTGCCCCAGGCTCTTGAAAGCCAGGAGCTGTCAGTAAGCTCCCCATGGAGACACCTGCTTTCTTCTGGACGCTGCAGTTCTGCCACACCCCGCCTGGATTCAGCTCTAAATAGACTGCTGCTGGGAGAGCTGGGTCATTTCAAAAACTGGTGAAGCAAAAGAAAGCTTTTTAAATTGCCCCCTTTTCACCAGCACAGAAATCCTCCTGTGACCTCCGTTAGGTTCTGGTTTTGTAAGATGCGAGGAGAGAGCTGGTCAGGGGGAGGTGGCCTGCAGGTCTCGGCCTCGATGGCTGGAGGGAGACCGCTGCGTCTGGACTCTCAGTCGTACCCAGGCAAATCATGGGATGAAAAATACTGAGGAGATTGCTCGAGTCCCTGGTGATTAATATCTGACACTGGATTTTGGCTTTGCCTTCAAGAGCTCCCTTTGTGGGCACACAGAGCTCACTGCTTGGCAGTAACCACAGCCCGGCCTCCCTGGGTGCACCCAATGCCCCGATGGAATTATGACAAACTGGCTATCAGCTTTTATCATCCGATGCACCAAGAGGCTGTGCTTTTCAGGAATAAGAATCCTGCTTAAAGCGAAGAGGACGAAGCCTTGTTTCAATAGCACTTCCCTTCTGGACCTGCCATCAGTTCCCCTGTGTGCAAGGAGTCTCGGTTATGACCTGTCCTTTGCCAGAGAATCGTTGTATTGTGTTCTGGTGTCTCTGGAGATTAGATGGTGCCAAGATCTGTGCATAATGGGCAATAATTACAGATGCAGGGACTTCGGGCAGTTTGATTTACAGCTACTGTATGACCTGAGTTTAGGAGCAGTTTGACCTTAACCCAGGTTTAGGAATCCGAATCCATCTGTAGAACATCATGTTATAAAGTATAACATCTGCGCCATCTGTTGAAGCCGCTTGGGATTTCAGAGTGAGTCAGGAAGTCGGGGAAGGGAGAGAAATCTTTTTCCAGAATGCTGCTTCTCCTTCACTCCGATTTATCAGCTCTGAGGGGAGTTTTCAGTGTCAGTGACAGATCCCTGGTTTCAGAGGCAGTCAAGTCCAGAGTCGTCATGTGCGATCCCTGGGCTGGCTGGTTACCTCTTGCCTTGTTTCAGCTTATCGTCGTCATCTGTAATTTATCAGCGAGACTGGGTGTGTTCAGGAAGGTAAAACTGGCCAACAGAAGCAGCAGCCCATATCTGTGGGAGCTTAGACAGGTATCATTTGAGCACCCAACGTGGACAGTGCAGGAGCTGACCCAAGAGGCTCACTCAGTATCTGTAGTACCTACAGTTTCCAGTGGCTCGGTCTTAGCAGGGAAAGGGTGGAGAGGTGATCAGACGTGATGGGGACCAGGCACAGGCATCACCAGCCCTGCCGGGCATGAGTGCAGTGGGGCTGGGGGCCCTGGAAGGGAGGCCTTGAATCTTCTGTTCCAGGGACATTTCCTACCTGGGGGTGGGGTGGGAGGGGGGAGGGGTGCTGCCAGGCTTTTTACCACCCCCAGTTCTTACCCCAGCATCTCACTGGGGTTGAATCTCATGAACACATTATAAGGTACAGGCTGGGTGTTGGGAGTGGTGCATGGCAGAAGAGAAGGCACAAGAAAGGCTGGCTGGTTGGTGTTGGCTGGGTGAGCTTCACACCGCAAATACTAATAATCATCCAACAGGCAATTTCTTAAATCCTCCCTTTATTAAAGGTCTACTTACAAAAAAAATAATAGAAATGTTTTTATTTTATGTTTTTCTCTGGATAATTAGGATTCAAGTCTCAATTAACTTTACCAACAAGACTAAAGGGCTGTGATAATCCACTTCCTTTTCACCAGGAGGTGTGCTTTTATTTTCCTAATGATGAGATGCTGAGTATCAGTGTGGAATGGGAGAAGGCAAGAGCATAAGTCTGCTAAAAAACAGAACACGAGGAGAATGCTGCCCTTTCCTCCACCTCACCATCTCCCCAAGATGTGTTTGTGCACTTTCTATATACTTTAACATTGATTCAACTGAAGAATTACAATAGGAATAAAAGGAAATCTTGAATATGAGTCAAACCTCATGAGTTTGAGCCTTTGGGAAAAGTCTGGTTTGAGTTAGTGTGAATTCATGAGGCATCTAAAGTATAGATATATGAAAAAAATATGAAGATATATATGCAGCTATTTACATATGAAGATAAATACACAAGCACACATACAAATGGGTAGTCCCTGTGTGTGTATGTGTGTGTATTCATATATATGAAGAGTTTCATTCCTTTGAGTATATATGAAGACAGATATGTGTGTGCGTTTGTGTGTGTATGCCCTTATTCCTTCATGCCAATGAGCATCATTTAGGAGTAGCTACAGCAGAGGGCTTTGTAGACCTGCATCCGTCCTGGATCCGTCACTAACTTGCTGACTTCTAGACCAGGGTTTCTCAGCTTCAGTACTATTGACATGTTGAGTTGGCTGATTATTTGTGCTGTGAAGCTCTCCTGGGCACCGTACGATGTTTAGCGGTATGCCTCACCTCTATGTACTGGATGCCAAGACAGCCCCACACCCCTCCCTGCCCATGACCACCACAAATGTCTCTCAACAAGTTCCAGGCACTGCCCTGGTTGGGAACCATTGTTCTAGACCAAATGGGATTGTTCCTAGGACATACAATATCCATCAGTAGACTGAGGAGAGCACTTCCAAGGCCCCTTCCAGATCTCACACTCCCAGGGTGACTGTCAAGGATCTGGCCAGATCCAGAAGCCATCTGACCCCCATGTTGCTATAACTGGGTATATAAGTGGAAATTTGTTCTTCTGAAGGTTAAACGCTCTCCTTTATACTATCCATTTGCTTATGTAACCTACCCTGCCCAGTTCCCAAAGACCAGAAGATGAATGACTCTTCTTAGATGCCGAAAACAGACTTAAAGTCATACTTATGTTCACTGAACTTGAGCCACACAGCTGTGTGTAACAGAGGAGAGGTTTGGAAATGATTTGGCTGAAACACCTGCTTTTCTCACCCACAGGAATTCTCACACTAACGAGAGCAAATGAACTACTGAGCACATGCGTGCCGGGCAGCTTCCTGATCCGAGTCAGTGAAAGGATCAAGGGCTATGCCCTGTCCTACCTGTCTGAGGACGGCTGCAAACACTTCCTCATTGATGCCTCCACCGACTCCTACAGCTTCCTGGGCGCGGACCAGCTGCAGCACGCCACCCTGGCAGAGCTGGTGGAGTATCACAGGGTGAGACGATGCACAGACTTGACCTGCTCTGTGAATTCCTGTCCTGCAGCAGCTCGAGCTCTGGAAGGCAATTATGAGAAAAATGATTGAGACAAGTAATGGGGGATTAGTCTTTGATAATTCCTCCCCATCATCAGGATTCTTAATTGCATTTCCTTTATCACTGAGCCTAGTTCCTCCTCAAATACTCAGGGAGACCCCACCGGGCAGAGAATATAGGAGACGCTAAAATCTCTATGCCTACACTGACCACATCTGAGAACACTCTCCAGTTAGAACTCGGTGCAGGTTTGCACATGAGAAAAATCTGTTTTGAAATTGTAGACTATAAAGCTTTGTGTAAATCAAGGGTAGGCAGGAAGTTCTGTGTTCTCAAGAGGTAGGAGTGGCACGGCATCATTATTTACTCTCTTAACCTGCCCAGCCTGACCTGTGCCTTCTGATTCACAGGAGGAACCCATAACCTCCCTGGGGCAGGAGCGCCTCCTGTACCCCTGCGGTCAGCGGGACCAGCCTCCCGACTACCTGGAGCTCTTTGAGTGACAGCCCCCACGTGTCATCCTGCAGCCCCCGGCTGGGCTTTCCTGTGGACAGACACGGCTGAAATGGACGTCTGTGCGTGAAGCCAAAATGACCCTGCCGCAGAGCCAGTACTGACCAGCCAACAGTACCCTTGGGGTCCTACAGAAATCCCTCTTCTGCACGAACGCCGGAGTTTGATGTTAGAGGAGATCACCTCTGCACCGTATGCACTCCGAACGTGAAGGGAGATCCCCCATTTCAGCAACTGCCTAACATGAAGGATACACCCTCCATGATGTATATAAGACAAAGTGAACAAAGAAGAAATTGGAGCCTTTTAGGAATGAAAGTGTTCTTTAAAAACCAGTAGCTCATGGGAACTCTTTCATGATCTCCACACTCTCCTTTTGCATCATCTCAAAAAGCCTCAGGGCCTGTTTATATGAAGTGACATGCTGGCTTTATTGACAGCTGAGATGACTCTCCAAACACACTTCACTTATTGTGCACATTGGAGCCAGGATGTAAGAGACATAGGAAAACAAAGTCGGGCATGTAAGTTGAATATGTTTAAAGTATAGGGTGAGGGGCTTAACAGGGACAAAAACACCGTGGACTAGGAGAGCGAGCTGGTGTCTGTGAGTGTCCTCATCCCAGAGAGCCAGGACACGGTGCCCGTCTACCTTGGCTCTACCCAGAGTGCACCAGCGATGGAGTCTGTGCACACGTGAGGTCCTACGTGTTAGTGGTGACTGACATGAACACAATAGTGAGCTGTGTGAATGCTACTTCTTGTGGGTTGAACTGTGTCCCCCAAAAGATATTTTGAAGTCCTAGCCCCTCCATATCTGTGAATGTGACCTTATGTGGACATGGGGTCTTTGCAGAGGTAAGCCAGTTGAGGTCATCCTGGACTAGGATGGGCCCCATAATCAATGCCAGGCATCTTTATAAAGAGAGAGGGATCTGGGAACAGAGGCATGCAGAGAGAAGGCCCCGAGATGACAGCAGAGACGGGAGTGATGCAGTTACAACCCAGGGATGCCAAGGACCACTGGCAACCACCAGGAGCTAGGAGAGCAGCATGGACAGGCCTTAGAAGGGGACGTCGCCCCGCCGACACCTTGATTTCAGACTTCTATCCTCCAGAACTATGACAGAACAAATTTCTGTTGTCTTAAGCCACTGAGTTTATGGTAGTTTTTATGGCACCCCTAGAAAACCAATACAGACATTTATGTAATTACGGAACCGGATGTGCATTATGTACCATACAAATGGGAGATGTACAACTGCAGACAGGCACCCCGCCCTCCTCCTAATGAAGGGAAAACAGGAGATGAGAAGAACCTCCCATTGGCTCTGCTTAGCTCAGGACGAAGAATTGCTCAGTCAGGAATCTTCTGCCCCACTGCACCCCACCCCACCCCCAGCCTCCATCAGGGGGGAGGCCTGACCGAGGAGGCTCGGAGTCACCGAGATCATTCTCTGGGTAGATGGAGATCTACTCAGACTTCAGGCCCGGCTCCCCGCATCAGCGTTGTTTTAAAGGAAGCAGACGGTGGTGGCCATTTGTTCCTGAGGTGGTTGGTTGTATAAAGCGCTCGCTGGCAGTGTAAAATGCAACCCGTAAAGAGGGCTCCCTCTTCCGAACGTGAAGGGAGATCCCCCATTTCAGCAACTGCCTAACATGAAGGATACACCCTCCATGATGTATATAAGACAAAGTGAACAAAGAAGAAATTGGAGCCTTTTAGGAATGAAGGTGTTCTTTAAAAACCAGTAGCTCATGGTTCACATCTCCACCCATGCACACTCGCACATATATATGTGCCTGTCTGTGCATATATATGTGCGAGTGTGCATGGGTGGAGATGTGTACTTTAATGAGGAAGTGTTTAAACACAGAGAGTTGCTATGTGTTTCACATCTCCACCCATGCACACTCGCACATATATATGTGCCTGTCTATGCATATATATGTGCGAGTGTGCATGGGTGGAGATGTGTACTTTAATGAGGAAGTGTTTAAACACAGAGAGTTGCTATGTGTTTCTTGAAATGCTGCATGTGTTTTCTATTGTCTGAGAGACAACTGTCAATTAGTGTCAAGAGCGTCTCTCCGCTTCCTCTCTGTGACTCAGCGACCATGACGTGAGAGAATTGCAGAGATGATGCCGGGCTGGAAGCCAGGAACGTCTGTTCCCGCCTCTTCCCACCATGAGCTCTGTGGTCGGGATAGGTCCCCTTACCTCTCTGAACCTCACCTTTCACTTCTAATGAAATAAAACAAGGGATTTTAACTAGATGATCTTTATGATGTTCATTCAGCTCTGAGATCTTTAGGTTCTTGAATGAATAGAAACGTACCCTACAGTCACTAATAATTATGAAGACATATAAGATTCCAGCATCACCCTCTGCCTAGAATCCTTTTGGAGGAAATAAGTACAGTCATGTCCAGATATAACTACACCAAGTGACTTCTTACTGGGGGAAGACTTAGAACACGGGAAATGACTGGGTGAAACTACCGTTACAAGGAGAAGCAGATTGGAGTTCTGCACTATTTTACCCTGTTGGTTACTGACTCTCAAAGGAATAAGCTGTCCAGTGTTTGATGATATGGTGGTGAGGACTAGCACCTGAAATTCTTAGGGAAAGAGAAGGGTTTACAGAATTCAGAAACTGATTACAACTAAATGGGTTGAGGAGGCCTGAATGCTCATCCCAGCTCAGCTGGTAAGACCCAGCCTCCCTGTGTCTGACCCTAGTTATGGCCTAAGGTGACGCCGTCCAAACCCTGGCCCTGGTCCCCTCCATCTGTTGACTCAAGAAGCCCAGCACTTCTCTAAAATCAGTAAAAACAGCTGTAACCGGTTTGGCTCAGTGGATAGAGCGTCGGCCTGCGGACTGAAAGGTCCCAGGTTCGATTCCAGTCAAGGGCATGTACCTTGGTTGCGGGCACATCCCCAGTAGGAGGTGTGGAGGAGGCAGCTGGTCGATATTTCTCTCTCATTGATGTTTCTAACTCTCTATCCCTCTCCTTTCCTCTCTGTAAAAAAATCAATAAAATATATATATTTTTTAAAAAAGAAGCCCAGCACTGACCTACCTGCCCAAGGTTTCTTGGTCTGGGATGTTCCCCTCAGGTTTTGTCATGTGCCCCAATCCCAGGTACCCCAGCCTGCCTGCCTCTTGGGACCGTGGCAGATGCTCCTCCCTGACCGTGTGGATTCTCCTCTCCCTCAACTGGATTCCGGCATCTCCCCTTATAGCCATTCACATGCTCCCGCTGCTATCTCCCCATTGCAGACCCCCCCCCCCCGCAACTATCTGTGAGGCTCCTGGTCTGGTCACCTGCCCTACCTACCACAGTAAGATGCACGGAAAGGTCCTTGTCCCTCAGCGTCACCAGAAGTGCTAAGCAATGTCAAGAAGGGTGAGTAGGTTCAAACCTTACACCAAGAAGAGGAAAAACACAGGGGTATTTAAGAAAAGGGATCAAGACAAAGGAGAAAAAGTGAAAAGGGACATGGACAGGCTACTAAAACTAACGCAAGGGCATTTATACCAGAGCCCCTCTGCACCATCCTCAACAACCAAAGGCCAGGGCCAGCGCCTTATCTTTGGGGTGCTGTCGATGGCGCGAGGGGCTCTGGGAAAGGCTTCCCACTCAGGCCAGTCCCCACCCTTTGGGACAGCCTCTCAGGCTACAGGTGTGGTTTTCACGTGGCTCCGTTTGAGGCTAATAATTAGAACAAGCAGTTAGGTACCCTTTTCCTTCAGCCTTCCTTTGAATTGAATCTGAGGGTGTTACTATTTGTTTTGAATTTATTTTTAAACTAAAAAATTTTTTTTCTTAACCTTTGCCATTGGGGTTTAACATCCTAGCAGGCCAGGTGCTACTTACTGTTCTCGTTCTTAAAACATGAGCTGGAGGGTGGTTTGGTCGTGGGCTGGTGGTGGGGCTGGAAATGGGGATTGGCGGCGGAGGTGGAGGAAGCTTCTGGTAGTACTGTAGTCTCCTGTATCAAGCTACGGTGTCCCTCTCGGGTGGATGAAGAGTCAGTCTAGTCGCCATGCATCCCACCTGGGGACTGCCTGTAGCCACAGGCTACCTACTCAGCCAGCCACCAGCCAGGCAGAGGGACATTTGGTGAGTCCTGGGCAGAGGCCGCACCAAGTGGCCTGTCCCTCCCTGAACCTTGGGTTGACTGTGGCCACGATGGCCCTGAGACAGCACTGGCTGCCTCCCAGGCTGCCACCTGCGCCCCCTCCCTAAGAAAAGCAGACAGGCAGACACAGCCCAGGGGCACGGGGTGGACCACTCCAGAGGCCTGCACGCAGGAACGGCAATGCAGACTTTGAAAGGCACCTCTGCTGACAGAGTATTTGCTGTGTTGAAACCACCACCCAAAGCCCCCAACCAAATGGCACAGTCCCCACAGATTTTGGCAGCAACAGCAAAGCACTGAGTCCTGCCAGTAGAAACAGCTTTGAATTCAACTAATCAGGATAGGGATCACACAAATTCGATGGGTGTGGCAGTAAGACACACCCACCCATCTGAGGGACCGCCCAAAGGCTTTATCCGCTCTTGGCAACAGTGTCAAACCTTTTTCCAAAAGCAAATTTTCCTACCTGCTCTCAAGACAGTCTTTAAGTCTTGTGCCTTCGGATCCTGCTGGAAAGCCTGCTTCCAATGCGTCAGGGCCCTGACCGGGTTAATACACAGCAGCTGGAGGGGGCGGGGCCAGCTTGCCTAGTGTTCCTGGGTGGCTGTTAACAAGCTTTCCTTCATTGACGGGATTCTGCAGGTGGGACTGGAGAGCAGGGAAACAGTGGGGAACCCAGGCACAAGAGGCCAGGCTTAGGACTCAGGCCAGGCCAAAGCTTCCCCCACCCCCTTCCCCAAGACCTTCAGGCCCTCTGAGCTGAGATGATGGTGTGAGCCTGCAGCCAGCCACTGTCTGGGCCCCTAAGTGAGTGCTTTGCCATTTCTGAGCCTTGGTTTTCTGCACCTGTAGAATGGAAGTAATGATGTCACCTACCTTAGAGGGTTGGCATTATGCACATAAAATGCCTGGCTATGCTCCTTACTTCAAAAACCTCGAATGCCTCTCAACTGCCTAGGGCCATGGTCGGCAAACTGCAGCTCTCGAGCCACATGCGGCTCTTTGGCCCCTTGAGTGTGGCCCTTCCTAAGCCTCAGGAGTACCCTAATTAAGTTAATAACTATGTACCTACCTATATAGTTTAAAAAATTTGGCTCTCAAAAGAAATTTCAATCGTTGTACTGTTGATATTGGGCTCTGTTGACTAGTGAGTTTGCCGACCACTGGCCAGGGGGTCATGAACTCCAAACACTGAGCATGGGGTTTAAGGGAGGAATTATCCATTGTCTCTTATACTCCTCACAACCCTTCTTCTGACAGACGGAAACTGTTTTCAGAATGACAGAAATAAAGGACAACAATGCACACACGAGGGGTCCATGGTCTGCAATGTGTGGCCCGCAGTGGCCCTCTGATTACACCGAGAGGCACTGGGCATCCGAGTTGATATTGAATAGTAACAGCTGAGCGAGAATGCCTGCCACGTGCCTGATGTGTCCTAAGGACGTCAGACATACTAACTCCTTTAATCTGTGGTGTGCTGATAAACAATGAACTGGCTGGGGATGGGGGTGAAGGGTGGGGTTCTGGGGGGAGCCTGATGTGTATGTAGCCTTTGCTGATTTCCATGGTGTAAATGCTCTCACTACCGTTGACTTTAAGCTCCCGACCTGCCATTACTGAGTGAGGAGTGGGAAGAGGTACGAACAATTGGCTCTCATGAGGCTGCTGGTTGGAGGAGACCTGAGGTTTATATTAGAGACCCCAGCTCCAGTGAGATGACTGGGGCGAGTTACTAGGCAGCTTAGTAAGAACAGAGGGAGGATGCAGAGGGTGGGAAGGGAACTAACACAAGCCCAAGACTCAGTGCCTCCTTGGCAGCATCCTTCCTTCAGAAGACGTACTGTGACTGGATCCTTCAAGCCACAAGTTCATTACTGCCTCCCTTTGCTGTCTAAGATTATAGTCCAAGCCCCTAATTACAGTGTTTTAGTGGGGCCTTTGCTAGTTCTTCTGGGAAGGGGCTGGAGAGAGGTCCTGCTATGGCCTGCATGTGCCCCCACAAAACGTATACGTAGACTCTCCAATGTGATGGTATTAGGAGGCGGGGCCTTTGGAAGGCAATTAGGTCGTGAGGGTGGAGCCCCCATGATGGGACCCATGTCCTTTATAAGAGGAGAGCTCTCAGCCCTGCGAGGACACAGACACAGACACTGACACCGTATCTGCTGGTGCCTTGATCTTGGATTTCCCAGCCTCCAAACCGTGAGCAATCAGCACCTGCTATACAAGCCAGTCTACGCTATTTTTGGTAAAGCAGCCCAACTCAGACAGATTCCCGCTTGCATGTGCTTCAAGAGGGCTCCTACCTTTTGATAAAACTATCTTACCGGAGAATGTTTTATTTAAAAAGAGAAAAATAGTTTAACATTATGTGACTTCCTCTTCTTTTCTGCTACCATCAGCAACTTGAAAACCCAGTTCTTAGCCACTGTCTCAGGCACCTGTGACAACTCAATTTAAACCGGTGAGGGTGAGCCCCGGGGCAGCCTGGGACTGCTCCCTGAGGGGCGGTGAGGCCTGCCTGACCCTGGGGTCAGACATTTGCTCCCTGCCACTAGCCTGGTTGGAAACCCATCCCCTGACCCTGGGAGGACACGGGTAGGAGTGTGCAGGTCAGTCCCACAAAGCCCTACAGACCACTGGGGAGAGGGCCCCGAATTTCTAGCATCACCATTACATGTAAAAATATAAAATACAATCAGAGTTTAAAGGCACCTTGGAAACCATTTCTCATTTTCTTCTAATAAAAAGGACAAGTAAATTGTATTAAGGGCCTGGTTTGTCATTATGGTTCTCTCCCCCACCCCCAGACCAGTGGTTCTCCCCCAGGGGTGGCTCTGTCCTCCAGGGACATTTGGCAATGACTGGGTGAGAGACCCTCCTGACATCTGGTGGGCAGAGGCCAGGGGTGCTGCCAAATACCCCACAGTGCACAGGACAGCCCCACAACAAACAGAGGCCTAGACCCAATTACCCACAGCACCACAGCTGAGAGACCCTGGTCTCTGCATAAAAAACTTTTCCAAAACCTAAAGACATGGCATTCTTATTCCAAGAAGAAATCATATCCACAAGTCATATTTTATTAGCTGTCCAATGCCACCTTCCACTCATGCCCTGTGTTTTAATTAAATGTTATGAACTACCCGTACAAATCAATACAATGCTTTTCTTTTTTTTCCCCCCCACACACCAACAGCTTGAATGTTCTTGAAGCTTTTAAACAATGACTTGACTGTGGGCAAACAGAAGACAAGGAATCAGAGATAATTAGCTCATGCATCTGGTGCTGGCTATTAAATAAATAATTTTCACATGAATGTAGAAACCACGCAGTGTTAACGGTATTTATTTTCTTTAAATAGTTGGAAACTGTAATAAAATGCAATTTTCAGAAGCGTCTTGGTGATGGAGTAGAACAGCTTCATTTAAAAAAGAATGAAGTTACTCCCCCCTAGACGGGGGTGGGTGAACATGTAGCAAAACCTCCCATCCCAGGAGACTCGGGCAGATGGAGTGATCTTGCACAAAAGACATGTCCCCGCAGCTCTTCTCATGGAAGCCGGCAGCCAGGAAGAGCACCCCGCTTGGGAAACAGCGTTTGGTTCACACAGTGTACTTTGGTTTATTTAAACAGGTAAGAAAGTAGTCCCCAGTTCTCCCTTGCAAAAACATGTGTTTTCTGACTTTTAAATAAATCAAGATACCGCCAGTCTGAATGAGTTTCCTTTTCTGTTGAGGCTAAAAAAAAAAAAAAAAAAAGGATATTTTTAATTCCCTCCAGTGTTCAGATGCTCCTCTTCGGAAATACTCTCCAGATACAGTCGGGTTATGTCTGGGTCCTCAGCAGCCCCACGCCACGCCTCCCCCGTGCTGAAGGTCTGACGCGGTGCCTGGCAGGCCCGGCATCCGCAGGTCCTCGGATGGGGGTATCCACCTGGTGCTCTGAATGGGAAGTTCTCCTAATGCATCTAAAAGTATCTTCTTAAAAAATGCAAAAGTGTATGCTAGCTTGTGCTCTCTTTAGTAAGGCTTACAAACGGGTCATTAAATAAGCAAAATATAACTCTTAAGCAAAAGAAAAGTGCATTTTTAAATAAAATAAACAAATGGAGATGGTTAAAACTACAACCAAAAAGATGAGATTATTTTTGAATAATTTGGGGGAAAATGGCAACAGTTATTCTTTCTTTTCTTTTTTTAGTCCATTTGGTTTTGCTTAATATACTCACAAGGATCATCATGAGGGTATCTCTGAGTTTACAGTCTCCTCGCCTGCCTTGTTTTAGACACAGAGTTCCTAGACGCGAGAGTCCTACTGATACAATCATTCTGCTGGGGAGAAATGTTTGCCTTTCATTCTAATGAACTTTGTACAAAACTGGTCTTCACTCATGAATATGGCAATGAGCACAGAAAGCAACAGGCCTCCACACTGCCAAGCGTACAACCTCACACCCATTCTCCTTCGTCAGACGCTGCAGGGGATCCTTCCTCTGTTGGGGCTACTTCTGCAGGCGAAGTGGGAGATTTGAATTCCTGCTGCGTAAAACCGCACAGGCAGAAATTGGAGGCGTGCTCCCTTTGTCGCTTAGGAATCAGTCAGCTTGCCCTTTATGGACATCGCTTCCTTGTTGCAGCCACTTGTCAGGATAATTGCAAAAGGAAAAAACAAAAAAACATCTCCCCCAATGTGTCCCTGGGAGTTCATGTTTTTTTGCTGCTTGACTTCTGCTTCTGCTTGCGAAGGTGAGCCTCAATCTCGTGCCGGAAGACCAGCATGCCCAGCTGCCCGTGGGAGGCCTCGTTCATGGCCTTGGACTGCATGCACATCTTGTACTGCTCGGGGGTCAGCTCGTCCACACAGCGCTTCTCGTGCCAGAGGTGGAAGAGGCCCCGCACGGGCGTCCGCACCACTATGAGGTTGCTGTGGAGGTACTTGCGGTACAGGTGCACATCCTCTCCGCCCCAGCCTTTGATGTCCAAGTCAAACCCACCTGTCAGGAGAGAAGACACTGCTGAGTCATGCCGGGCCCACACCTCCCGCTTCCCTGCGCTGCACAAGCACAGAACGGCATGAAGACAAGAAGCCGTTAGGGGAGATGTGTTTCGCCGCCCCTCCGAATGATGAGTGTCCATCCGTGTCAGAGAACTCAGAATTCTCGAACACAGAGGACTTTCATGGAAGCCAGTACCAACTCCCAGAGGTGACAAGACTGCAAACAGAATCCCAGCATTTGCCCGCCCCCGAGAGCTGTCAGCAGTGCTAATGATGAACCCCCGACTCCAACTGAGAGCTGCAGAAGCGCCCCAACTTCAACCTGAGACCTCCTGATGAAAATCCCCGTGTTTCTATTTGAATGTGACCTCCTCCTCCTGCCACTTCATATGGAATAAACCAGAGGTGTGCAGTGTGAAATAGTAAAACAGGATCTCAGTGTGAAAAAAAATCACACCCCACAAAAGCACTCTTCCTTTTGGAGACTAAAGTGTTTCCCAAAAGCTGGTGAAACGACCCGTGTTGAAGGGACCAGCCCAAGTCGGTTCTGGGGTTCCACTCCAATAATCTTGTTTCACGTAGGAATGGACAAGGAGAATACTGGTCCCCTACACTCTCACCCAAGGTTGAGATGCCCCAGGTTGTTTCTTAACCTAAAGTCCAAGGTGCCTCAAGTAGAACCAAAGAAAAATTGGCCTCTTTTTGTCATTGTTCCTCGTCTCACCTGGGAGATTTCTCCAACTCTTACAAGACATAGTGAGGTGATTCTGAACATCTTTTCTCCATTATCAAAGAGCCCTTTGTCCCCAAACCATGCTGCTCTGATCAAGGCTATTGCTGGATCCCGGAAAGGGGCTCCCCAAACATAGAGAAACCACACTGCACCCACCCCTGGTCCATGTCTACGAGGGCTCTGTACTCCCCCCAATACAGGCAGGCAGAGACCATTCTGAGTCAAGGATCTGGAATCTGAGTCTTGGTTCTCATCCAAGCTCCCACTTTACCTCTCGTGAGCTCTGGTTTCTTTACCCTGAGATGAAGTAGGTGTTATAACCGAACGAGACAGTAATGTAAGGGGCAGTGCTTCGTTAGCTGTAGCTGGTTTATTATTCCCATTGGTATCATTACAACTTATTAAGTAAAACTTATGCGAGCATATGATGCTTGCAAATTAATGCAACATTGCAAAGAATAATGGGGGACAGATGTAGCCCAAAGATTCATTCTGAGCTCATAGCAACGGCCGACTGAGAAAGAGCACTGGCCCAGCCTGCCATTCTCATGTTTTTCTAGTATATCAATGCCCAGTCTTTAGGGAAAAAATGTATTACCCCAAATTTGATAAATATAGATCATCACAAAATACTCTCTCCCTGTATAGAGAGCAAGGAAACAGCTTCTTAAAATGGAAATCTCCTTTAGAAATAAAAAACAACATATGTCATTTATGGAAATTGATTTGCACAAAATCATTTAGGCTTATTTCTTAAACAAATCAAAGCACACCTGTGGTTCGCCGCTGGTTATCCTGGGACTCCTGCCACTCGGAGACTGGCATCCTGGGTGCTCTGCAGCTGCTCACGGGACCTGACTGCAAGCCGTTTGGGTTTCATTTTTATTTTTAACTGGTGATTCCTGTGAGCATTCTGCAGGCCCTGCAGACCACCTCTACCTCTGACCAAAACTTGGGCTGCTCAGATAGACTCGCTGACCTTAAAAAGAGAAGCTGTAGGCCTTGGGCGGGAGGTGGAGTAGACAGGAGAGAGCAGGGGAGCGGTCTCTGGGAGGCCACAGGGAGGCGGTGGGGGTGGGCATCTCCACACCTTGTGAGGACAGGACTTCCAGACTCTGTCCTGCTAGAGCCAGAGCCTATGATCAAGGTTTCTGACCTGCTCATTCACTCCCAAGTCACATATAATCCACAATTCTACTCCCTTCAGAGGCACATGAGTTAGAACTGCCGTGGGGAAAGAGTGTGGAATTCCCAAGGGGGACAACAGACACCCTGTTCTCATCCTGACTGTGTCCCTCACTTTGCCTCTGAGAACCTTGGTCTCCTCAACTGCAACCGAAGGGCCTGCCCTGTCTGTGCTCTGGGAACCTGTGTGTCTGTGTGTGTGTACACAGTGACTGTACACTCAGGGCTTCAGGTGACATCTGGAATTTTTGAAGGTACAGCAGTTTTTCCAAAATTTCCTGGTGTGTGATTTTCTCAAATTCCCCATGTCACCCTATTTTTTAATGGATTCCCCCTACTGGGGAGGCCCAGGATGGTCTACATCAGTGGTTCTCAACCTTCCTAATGCCACGACCCTTTAATACAGTTCCTCATGTTGTGGTGACCCCCAACCATAAAATTATTTTCGTTGCTACTTCATCACTGTAATTTTGCTACTGTTATGAATCCTAATGTAAATATCTGATATGCAGGATGTATTTTCATTGTTACAAATTGAACATAATTAAAGCATAGTGATTAATCACAAAAACAATATGTAATTATATATGTGTTTTCCAATGGTCTTAGGCAACCCCTGTGAAAGGGTCATTCGACCCCCAAAGGGGTCGCGATCCACAGGTTGAGAACCGCTGGTCTACATGATGGGGCACAGGAGCCAGACAGGTTGGAAGTCAGCACTGGGGGGACCCCTTGGAAGCTGCCTTTACACAATGAGCTGCCTCAATCTGCAGATGGGAGCCTTATTTGGGGTGACTGAGAGGTGCTGGTGGAGATTATAGGGTTAAAGTGCCACACACTCCCAGGCCACCTATTGGTCCAGCTCCAAGCCCATGACAAGAGGAATGAACTTGAGCCACCTTTTCTTAAGAAGTGGCACCTCCTTTGCCACCAGGCTCCTTGGAAGCTGACTGGCCAGGTTCCCTCACAGCCCTTCCCTGGCCTCTAGGTGGCAGTAGAGATGCAGACTTCTTGCCAGTGGATTTGTCTTACCTATGTTGATGAAGTCTGACCGATACTGGCATGTCATCCCAAATCCGAAGTCTCTCCAAAATCCAGTTTCCTTCTTTATGACCTGCAGGGAAAGCACCATCATTTGAGAGGGAAGGACAGAGTGGATAACAAGAAACGGAGGTTAGTCACGTAAGCAACGTTAAAAGGAGAGTCCATCCCAGCACTGATAAACAGCCGCAACCCTGTGGGGGAAACGCAGATGGATTTGAGTCCTTCTGGACGGTTAGGAATACAGTCAGCTCACCAGTCCCAAAAAAGGGCCTTGTGATTTTTGGCACCTCTGGTTGGAATGTTTCTAGGGTACAAGGCATGGAAACACACACACACACACACACACACACACACACACACACACGCTCAAAAACAAACCGGAGAGCAAGTTTTTGAGCGGCGCCATGGAAAAGCCACCTACGTGTCTGGCCCAACACCAGTGCCAGCGAGAGTTGGAGGCCTCGGCCCCTCGCACAGGGCCGGGCCGGGAGCCAGCAAAGGGCTCAGGAAGTTGAGAGAAGGGATAGAGAACAACTCGGGATTCAGCTGCCCTGGCACCGTGCACACACGGGGCTCCCTCGGGCAATGGAAGGAAAACCCGCGGCCTCGGCGTGTGACTCCGGCTCCGCTCCTGCTTGTTGAGGAAAAGGGCACGGCGCGTCCAGGTTATGAAGAAAGACTCTGTCCATTCATCTTTACTTTCAAGCCAAACTGCTCCAAAAAGCCTCTGCCAGTCGTTGCCAGGCGGCCAGGGTGCCGAGAGGCCATCCAAGCGGTGACTGTCTTCAAAAAGCCAGACCTGGCCCTGCCCAACCTCTTACTTTGCAAGTAAATTTCCAATGTTCTGGCTGAAGCAGCAAGATGTTGAAGAAGCTGCTTCTATATTTCTGGCTGAGGTAATTCTGGGAATGGTTTGGGGACCTATTTTAATCGTTATTTTTCATGATTCACTTTTGAGTTAACATCGGTGCTTCGATGAAAGGAAGTCCCCTGGGGGATGGGTTGAGGGGAGGCTGCACCAGGTCCCCATCCACACGCACTGTGCCTTTCCTGTCGGGGACGCCTGGTTCTGTTCTCAGCCAATGAGACACAGTGTGCGTCTTGTCCCATCTTGACCACTGGCTGGCTTCTCCGCCTCGGGTAGGCCCCGCACTTCTTCGAGCCCCTATTTCCTTTCCAATAATTGAGGAGGTTGAGCTAAACCACCCCTAAGGTCTCTTCCAGCTCTAAGAGCCAAACATTTGTCCGATTACTACTATTTCTCCTCCCTGAAGTTTCCCTTTATCTATGCCACAGGCTACACTGTACTGGACAGATGGCTTGCAGAAGGGCTGATGAACTTGAAAACTCTTTTACTCCGTGACCTGGGAAGCAACCTTATTTTCACTACCACCTCCACGGGGATGCCGCTTGCACTGCTGCCAGCGTGCAGCAGGACTGCTAAGGGAAACCAAGACCACAAGCGGCTTCGTTGGCTACTGTGGTTCCCAGCACGGGCTCTCCAATCCCTCTTCAGAACAAAGGCCTGTAACACAAACCTCCCAAGTGACAAGACAATGTCATTAGTATCGACCGGAAAGGTTTTACAGGGCAGGAAAGTCTAAAAAAAGTCTCCACTGAGTCATTTTTAAAACTGGTTTCTGCTTCATCCCTGTTATACCAGGTACACTGTTCCTGATGCAGCTACTGGCTTAATATCCTTTTTTTCCCAGGATGCAGACAAGTCTTCTAAGCTTCTGGATATAAGTGGAGTCGAAGAGGAGTGCCAGTATCCAAACTTCAAATACTGGGCTGAGGTAGATATGAGTGCAAATGAGAAAGGTCCAAATGGGGAGAACAACGGGTCAGGGCTTGGAAAGAAAGACAAAGGGGTGGGGGTTGCAAGAAGCAGCCACTCCAGGGCTGGGGTGAGTGGACACAGTACCTGGTAAACCTGCACACAGTGAAGAATGACCCTCAGCTGCAGACAGCGTGACAGAAACAAATGGATGTGTGAGCTGGGAATGAGCTACATAAATACTTATTAACATTGGCTTTAAAGTTGGCAAGCCACGAAAAGCACTGTCTGAAGAGCTCATTGAATCGTAGCCCTTGGTGGGAACCGATCGTGCCCACAGCATATACTGTCAGGGCAAGATGGAGTGCACTTATTAGAGTTCACTTATTAAGGCTCCACCACCCCAGCTGTGCTGAGCCGCTAACTGGAGTGGTGCCCTGGACCAGCAGCCGAGCCGGGAGTGAGCGCTCTCCAGTGTACATCAGATCACAGCACGCTCCCATTTAAAGCCCTGCCGTGGTTTTAATTGCATGCTCTCTAATGCAATTAGAATGAAATCCATGCGGAAACCTCCAGCCTGCAAAGGCCCCACGGAATCTGGCCCCTGCCTGCCTTGCCCAGCTCACGTGTCCCTTATATTCTGCCTCCTGAACGCGCCAGGATGACAGGTCTCCACAGCTGGATACCTGCAGAGCTGCCTCCCAGGTTCACCCTTTCCCTGCTCACCCCTGGGCTCTGCTCCAATGTCATTGCTCAGAGTCACTCATCCAGGCCCTTCCAGCCACTGTCAACCCTTTCCAGCCATGTCACACTCTACACGTGGCTCATTTTCTCTATAAACCAGGCTCTCTGAAATCACCCTGTTGTATTTGTTTCTCTGTTAGCCGTCTGTCTTCACCTACCACCTCTGGTGAGCGCAAGCTTGGTCTCCAGCACCCAGATCACTGTCTCCCACATAGCGAAACTCAATAAATACGCTAAGTCATCAGTTAACATCATTGATGGGTTCTGTGACTTCAAGCCAAATTATGTACATCAAAACCAATTTTACCATATGCTAATTGATATTAGCAGGAGTTGAGTTCCTACTCAGGCATCTCATTAATATTATAATGAACCAACCCTGAACAAAAGGAAGTTATCTGAGGATCTGCTATACTTCTCCAATGAACAAATGAGGAGCAGAGACAACATCAAGCCAGTGGAAATATACATGGTCCAAGCCCAGAATCTTGTCAGGGAGTGGACCAGCGAAGGCCTAGAAATTCCAGTGGGAAAACCCTCAGAATTGTGTCATTCTGGACCAACAGACAAAAACATTTCACCTTCCTGGGGTCTAAGCAGAGGGCTTAACTTCTTAGCACCTTTGCCCGAGACATAAGGAGCGCCACTGTTCTGGTCAAGCGTTGAACAGATACACACCAGTGATGTCTAGAGGAAGAAGAAGCCCTAAGATAGAGATTAGACTTTAAAAGAGAAACATCTCCTCCTTCTGTCCTGAATTTCCCGACCTGTTCTCAAGTGCTATCCTTACTTTTAACAATTTCTATCCAGGGCCGGCCTCTTCTTAGCTCTCTGAACCACCTTTCTCTCCCACCTAGGATCCCATCGGAGCACCGCAGGGCAGGAACACACCAGGAAAGACAGTTCGAGCCCATAGGAAGTGGCCAGACCTTCCGCTCTGTGGGTGATTCATATGATCGGGGTGATTATTTTCTATTAGGTCCAAAACACAAGGCATAAATCAGCACCTCCCTCCAAAGACAGGGAAGGCGGCCACCCTGCAGGTGCAGGGGAAAGGTGGGGGTGGCCTGGAGTGGCAGGCAGCGCCTGTCTGCTTTCATGGCACTGACTTGGACAACTGCCCATGACGCAATCTGGGCCCTAAAATAAAACAAGTCACATATACTCAGGTGGCGTATTTCCTCTAAAGACAAGAGAGTCTCCTGAGACCTGAGGTTGTGTCTGAGCAGCCTCACGTTCACCAGAAACACTGAATGGTGTTCATTAACCTAATTTCTGACCTCACTGAAGGCAGGCAGGCAGGCAGGCAGGCAGGCAGGCAGGCAGGCAGGCAGGCAGTGTGCGGTCCACAGGCCCCACATAAGGAGGCTTCAGGCCTGGTTTAGTGCCCTGCTGTTGCCATCTTGAAATTCTTAATGAGTTTTAAACAAGGGCCCTGGGCTTTCATTGTGCACTGGGCCATGCAGGGTGAGTAGCCAGCCCTGCCCATGAGCAGCAGACACCTTGAACTTCAGGGTCCTCTATGGCTCGGTTGGGTGCCTCCTGCCCCCACACTAGGCAGTCCCCATTCTCTGGTACCGAAGGCTGATGAGCACACTGTGCGAGATTCCAAGGGCCCGCATGTGGTGTGCATGTGCCCGAGGGCTGGGCGAGCATCCTGTGCAGGATTCCAGGGGCTGCAAATGGTACCCATGTGCCCATGGTAAGGCACGGTGCCGTGACAGTTTCTATTTCTTGAAAGATAAAGTATTCTGGCGCCAAAGCTTTCAAAGAATTGGCTTAAGAACAGATTCAAATGCCACCCCCTTCTAGATCTGTACTAACGCACACTTTCAACAAGACATCTTTTATCAGTATCTGCATTAAATACATGAAGTGTCTTCTGAAGGATAGCAAGCTAGACAAGGAATGGTGCAGGTTTCCTGTTTGGGGATCTGTAACCAAAGGTTAGACTCTGTGCTCTCCTGGAAGCACACTAAGGCCAAAGAATAAGTCCCCTCGGCATCCTCAGCCCTGTCTCCATCACACAGGTGGCACGTGCACTCTTGCTCCTGCCACTTAGCAGTCTGGGCAAGTGACTTCTGCCTCTGAGTTTCAAGGTTCTCGTCTGTGAAATGAGCATAACGATATCTCTTCGCATGCAGTACCACTGAGCATGACACGAGATGACGCGGGCACAGTGCTGGCTTACACACCACTGCATGGATTGCTCTGTTAATGTTACTCTTGGTGCTCAGTGAGTATCTGCTCCCCAGATAAATAAAAAGACTATGCCTGGTCAGCAATCTTTAATAATTTAAACTGAAATGCCGTGTAGTGGTAAATACTTTTGTTTTTGTTTTTTTTTTATTTTTATTTTTATTGCTTAAAGTATTACAAAGGGTATTACATATGTGTCCATTTTATCCCCCCGCCCTAGACAGTCCCCTAGCCTCCCCTATCCCCCAGTGTCTTATGTCCATTGGTTATGCTTATATGCATGCATACAAGTCCTTTAGTTGATCTCTTACCCCCCTACCTCCTGCCCCCCAACCCTCCCCGGCCTTCCCGCTGCAGTTTGACAATCTGTTTGAGGCAGCTCTGCCTCTGTATCTATTATTGTTCAGTGGTAAATACTTTTGGAGGCGGGTAGAGAGGTAAGGGTTTAATCAGAGAGAGGGTGAGGATATACCATGACACAACGAACAGAGTGACACAGTCATCAGATTTAAATGATGGGTGGGCTGCATGGCAGACTCTGATGTCGGGCACTGTGGACAGTAGAAAAGGTGAGGAGATGGCCCTGAGCTGGAAGATGAGGAGACATTAAGCAGCGTGCTCACCTGGCAGAGCGGCTGGCTTGGGTATCTACCAAGCTGGTACCCTGTGCCAGGTGCTGGGGTTTGCAAACATTTTCTCCGCAATCAGTTTTAGAGTCAGTTTATAGAGGAAAGTTAATCCCAACAAGGAATTGGGGATAGGCTAGAGCAGCCAGGGTTGTGCAAGTTTCTTCCCAAGTCTGTGTTGAGTGACATCACATCGGTAGCCTGGAACAGGCCTCGGTGGGGAACCTGACATCACGGGAAATGGCCAACGCTATGAATCTGGGCTCCCCCCGCCCCCTTTCGGAGAGTGGGTTGTTCAACATTTACTAGCACACCACTGGCTTTATGCCATGAAAAAAATTTTTAATGGAATTAATCTTCATTTTGAAAATGTATCTCTGGCAGAGGATGAAGGAAAGACTAAGTACAGAAGAGGGAAGGAGCCTAAAGACAGAAGTGGTAAGAGGCTCCCGCCACGGCCCCAGCAAGAACTAACAAAGCTTGAGCCAGGAAAGTGAAATGTTAATAATTACTGAAATTACAGCCATTCCTTCCTCAAAGAGCTGTTTCTACATTAAAGCATCAGCAAGTTTCATCTCAGGTGTAAAACTCAAGAAATTAAATATTCGTATAAAATCCCATGATTTCACTTACTACTTATTACTAATGGTCTGTATTCAAACGTAGAGAAACAAGTAGTCTAAACACACACGCAGATACCCTAAGTTTGGTTTCTTGCTTGCATCCGCAGACAACATGTTATCAAATGACAGTGGCAATACTGGTAGCCAGGAGAAGTAATGACCAGAACCTTGGCGATAAGGTCATATCTGCAGGGCTGCTGGAAAAGCTGCCTTTTGTTGGCAATAAATAACTTTTGTTACAGTGATGTTCTCCCTTTGGACACTGATGTATTCCAGGAAGGCTATCAAGAATGCATTAATATATATGCATTATATACTTCTAGACCGAGTCAAAATGAACCCTTGGTAGGAAATCTTTCCTAATTTATCCCTCTCTTATCATTCCTTTTTTAAAATCCTCACCCAAGGATATTTTTCCCTTGATTTTTAGAGAGAATGAAAGGGAGAGGGAGAGACAGAGAGAAACATCAATGTGAGAGAGACACATCGATTGGTTGCCTTCCACGTGCGCCTTCACGTGGCCGGGGATCAAGCCTGCAACTGAGGTACATGCCCCTACTGGAATCGAACCTGGGACCCCTCAGTCCCAGGGCTGACGCTCTATCCACTGAGCCAACCTGGCTAGGGCTTATCATTCCTTTTTATTTTATAACTCCTTAGCTCCTACACATTCCATCTCTATGTTAATGTCTGTAGTTTGATGTTCTCCTTTGGGATGTTTGTCAGGTCATTTCCTTTATATTTCAGCTCTCATCTAGACCCTAAGTGAATCAATTCCCGCTGCACTAGAGTAAGGAAATCCTAGTTTGGGCCTGTGCTCGGCTACCAGCTGTCTGTGTGGTCTTCAGTAAGAGTCTATAGACAGGGAGGGAGTAGTTGAAATTATCTCGCAATCACTTCTGAGTACACGAAACTGTTTCAGTTCTCTGCCTCCCTGACTAACACCTAAACTAATTCAATGTAGGAAGCAAGTGCTCGAAAAATGGCTCACCCAGTAAAGAACAAAATCAATACTTTTCTTTTTTGGATGGAGACCCCTGCATCTGACAGACAACTGCTGTGTTTCTCTGGACTAAACAGTCACAAATACTGGACCCCGGAAGAGCAAACTTATGTGGTCTAGGGAATGTTAAAGGTTGCAGGGTAACTTAGAGGTTCCAGCTGTGGACACGGCAATCTGGCTTGACCACTAATTCTGAGAATCTGAGAAACTGGCTTCCCCACGCCATACCTCTGGCTTCCCCTTACACCTGCTTCCCTGCAGGAATGGCAATAACAGGATAAACCTTTTAACCTGTAAAATGACAAGAATTCCTTGCAAGCAAATAAGGTCTTTAGGAGTTTAAAGTAAAAACCTTAATCTCATTTGATGTCAAATGTAATGTGGTACTTTATTTAAAATCAAAGGGACTTTTATTTGGATTGGTTGAAGGAAAATAAATCCTGTTTCCCATTTCCCCCTCAAGCCCTATTAGAAGCTCAGAACTCTTACAGAATGGAAATAAGAAGCTTTCCTGTCGCCAAAACCGGTTTGGCTCAGCGGATAGAGCGTCGGCCTGTGGACTGAAGGGTCCCAGGTTCGATTCCGGTCAAGGGCATGTACCTTGGTTGCGGGCACATCCCCAGTGGGGAGTGTGCAGGAGGCAGCTGGTCGATGATTCTCTCTCATCGATGTTTCTAACTCTCTATCTCTCTCCTTTCCTCTCTGTAAAAACTCAATAAAATATATTAAAAAAAAAAAAAAAAAAGAAGCTTTCCTGTCTCAATGAGGGTGGATAAAAATTGGTTTTGGGGGAGTGAAACCTCTTACCGTGTTTATGTACAAAGCACATATGTACATATAGTACTTAAACAGACATTCACCAGATCCGGGGTATTAGAATCTCATTGGGGGAAGGGAAAACTGTATTATTACTGTCCTGTGTGGCTTGTGTCCTAAGGGGAACCGTGCTAGGACATGACCTTGTCCAACCTGAAAGAACCTGAACTGACTTTCTGGAACATCTGCTGCCAGAGGTTAACTGGAGTGGGGCACAGGATACGGCTGGAGAAAACAGGTTTTGCTACTTCTGGCAGCTTGAACACAGAATCCATCCTACAAAAGAATTTCATAAAACATGTATTTTTGCCCTAGCTGCTTTGGCTCAGTGGATCGAGCATCGGCCTGCATACTGAAGGGTTCTGAGTTTGATTCTAGTCAAGGGCGCATGACTGGGTTGCAGCTCAGTCCCCAGCAGGGGCTGTGCAGGAGGCAGCCAATCAGTGATTCTCTCTCATCATTGATGTTTTTCTCTCTCTCTCCCTCTCCCTTCCTCTCCGAAATCAATAAAAATATAGTTTTTAAAAACAACAACAACAACATGTATTTTCCATGAAAATCAGTTTCCTCTCCCACTGCACAGAAGCATGTCCATTCTCACACAGCAGATTGCCGCCCCCCCCCCCCCCCCCCAGCCTCTGAGGTGCTCAGTGGGAGGAAACATGGCTTTGTCTCAAACAGGAGACAGAGCTAACCAAGGCAACGAACAAAGGGCCCCCAGGTCAGATGCTCCTGAGACCCAGCCTGAGCCAGAACACCGCCTTGACACGCCCAGCTGATCTCTGCAGGAAGAGATCACTGCCCAACTTGACAAGAACGGGAAATTGATTCTCCAAGGGGCATGCCTCTGTGTGGCACAGAGACCCTCTTCTGGCTTGTCTCATCTTCCTGTTGCTGCCCTGCTTCTCTGCTAAGTGGACTGACTCCACCACCAACGGAGACAAGTCAGCTACAGAGATCCTTGTTGGCTTTGTGGCTCCACCTCCATTGCCTGTGCAGCTAAGATCATAGCAGAGAAGCCACCCTGCCTGTGACACTGCTGATGCTAATGTCCACCCCAAGTCACCGTGATATGTGGGAATGATAGCATGATGGGAGCTTCCCCACTGACTCACTCACTGCGTACTGGGGTGAGTCACCCCTTTCTGACTTCCGGTTTCCATTTGCCAAATGGGAACACAACCTCACCTTTCTTACCTTGCAGGTTTGTTTAATAATAAAGAGAAAATGTGCTCCATCCATAATGCAACAACACTAGTTTCCAAAAACCATAGAAGAAAACTAGGAAGGTGTGAAATTACCTTTCTGTAAGGTACTGTTCCTATTTATTTTCCACTTTTAAATATTGCAAGCACTTTTAATCAACAAGGCACTGGGAGCAAAGGCCAGAACGTCTGCCAAACTTTAAAATGAATACAGGACTCAATCCGCAGATTTTTACTCACCTGAACTCATGGTCAGGTGCCCTAGTAATGAAAGACATGAAACAGAGTCCCACAGAGGCACCTGCGAGTAATTACTCACCAGCTGCTGTTCTAAGGGAGGGACAGCATCGTGATGGCCGTAGATGATGCCAGGATTGTACTGGCTGAAAAGGACTGGATAAAATACTTTCTTCCCTGCAGACCAGAAAGAAAACATTCGCTGAAAGCAACAGACGAAACTATTAGGTTTGTTCATCTATATTCAACCCACTGAAACATCCCAGATATTTGCATCCGCTTTTCCTTTTCCCTTCACTCAAGTCTAACACAGATCTTAGAAGTTCTGCACCAGGTAGACCAGATGAACAGACTCTCAAATATTTCTAGCCTCTTAGCCCAGGAGTGATATTCAAAATAGTGATATCAACCAATGAGAGTGGGTGTGAAAGACAGTCCTAATGCCCTCTGCTCTACCAGACATTAACCCTTTAATTGCTGGCTTGTGGGGAAGTCTGAAGGGTTGCCAGAGGCTGGGGTGACTTTGTGCAGCAGGCATAGACATGGGGAGCCTAGGGCAGTTACTCTTTATCAATTTATCTGAAGAGTTTCAATATTTTAACAACTGGCATGCCCATTCCAGTAGCTATCAGCTGAATACCAGTTGTGCCTATAAGTCAAACTCCAGGAAAATAATTTTTATATTGTGAGTTATTTCTGCTCAGCTTACTTCTTCCCTTGGTAACTACCCACAGCTACGCCCTTCCCTTTGGTTTCAGGAAGTTTCTCCAGATCATGTCCTCATTTTCTCCTGTGAATGTTCATGAAAGACGATGCCCCAGGTGAAAATGGAAAAGAAGTTATAAAAATTAGCTTGGGACAAGGAGTCCCAGAATTATGGTGGCTGACAAGCCCACACTGTGGCACCAAGGAGAAATCCAACCTTTCCTTTGTCACTGGGGGGAAATAAGGCTGATTGAGAAGCAGGACAGCAGAGTGAATTATGAAGAGAATGATGCCTGAGTGTCGGAGCCAAATGCCACCTGAGGGAGAGAAAGAGAAGAGCGGACTCCATACACCCTTACCTGGCTGTGTGTTCAGCCTGCACGTGTTGAGGAACTCAGAGGTGAAGTGGATGTCAACGTCACAGAAAAAGAGAAGGACGTTGCTTCCCTTCCAGAAGCGGGCTCCTACATCAAGTCCCTTTCCTCGGGAAAATTCTCCATTCAGTTGGATGAAGGTAAAGTTCCTGAAGTTGGCAGCTCTAAAGGGGAAGAAAGACACAGTCCCTCAGGCTTCCCAGGTCAAAAGAGTCCCCTGGAAAATACACGACCAAGGGTCATCCACATCTGGACATGTTTCTTTTGTAACTCTGAGGGCAATGAGACTACCAGGCAGTTACAGGATGACCCAGACTCTTCAGAAATACATTGGGATTAAAGGCACCAAGAACAAACACCTAGCAAAGTTTTAACACCAGTTTATTTCTTGCTTCTCAGTATTTTTCCCAAATTGAAAACTGTATGGTCATGATTAATAAATACTTTTATGTGTGTGTGATGGAGAAAACTTGAACCAGTGAAGACTAGATCAACAAAACCCAGGAAAATGTCCATACCTTCTGAGCCAATGAAACCCAGGAAAATCTCCATACCCTCTGAGCCAATGAAACCACTGGACCAAGGAAATGAAATCCCATTAGAATGGCTCCACCTCGCATCCTCTCATCTGTATTCAACTCCAGGAGCCAGACCTGATAGTCTTGATATATGCTTATCCCCAAACAGATGTAAACCTGGGTTCCTTCCCCATGCTCAGGAAATGCAGAAGAGCCAGACAAGGAAAATGACAGACTTAGGTTCAGAAGACCAGAACTGCCTCAGACCTGGCTCTCCATAGATTAACTCTGTGATCTAGGCAGTAACCTCCCAGAACCTCAGTTGCCTCATCTGCTAAACAGGAATAATAACACCTTCCTTAACCGCCTCACAAAGTTATTAGTTAGGTAAACACGGCCAAGCGTAGAAAGCACTATGTCAGCATCAGCTACTGCTGTCGCTGGCACAGGCGAGGATTCCCAGGCCCAGGGCAGTGAAGCCAAGACGTTTCTTCCTGCGGCTGTTCTTTCCCAGGCACAGCAGTACCTTCTGAAATAGGACATATCTCCGCACAAGTTCCAGGAATTCATTCAGGACCTAGTGGGATGGAGACTGTCTTCTACCAGGAAGAACTAGAGAACCACTTATAGTCCTATTCTAGCTCCTAATTCCACCTTCACAGATGCCTGGCACTTGGCAAATCCCCCTATTCCTGCTCACATCACCCTTCTTTTCATATCTGAGTCCACCCTGAACCTGGCCTATCCCTGTCCCTCAACTTCTCTCTAATCCTGATGTAGTGAAAACACGTTCAAAAACCCATTTCCATTTTTAAAAGTATGTCTTCCACTTGGGTAAAGGTCAACATAAATATAGAGTCATAAACTTTTCAAATGCTAAGTTGTACTGATATCTTGTAATTTAATCAGTGGAACAAGTTCTGCTACCCCTTCCTAGACTTCTCATCTTCTTTCAGATCTGGGAGTGAGCTTGGGTTTTTATCTTGGGAATCTGTGGGCCCAACCTGTCTGAGTCCGATGCCAGACATGCTTTTCAGATTTAGATCAAGGCAGGAGGCCTGGTGATGGGAAGGGCACTGGTGGATGAGTCAGGAAACCTGGATCCAAGACCTAGTACTGCGCCCCCATGAGTGCAGATGTAAATAGATGAATTATTCTAATGCTAGCTCTGCCTCTAATGTATCGGGGGCGAATCGCTTCATTCCACTGGCCTCCGTCTCCTCACTGCACCAAGGCCCTTTCACTCTAAAATTCTATTTCTGTACATTCTGCATCCTGTTCAGCACTGCTCCACATTTAGAGGCACTCTCCTCTCCTTCAGGACTGGACCTTGACTCTTTTCTCCAGCCGGGGGCCGAGTTCATCTTTCCTGTGAGTAGAACTATGGTTGTGCTCCACAGCCTCTTCAGTCCTCGATTGGCCCTAGTGAAGGATAGGTACCTCCCTGTCTCCCAAACTGTTAGGTGCAGTCATCTTTGTCTCCCTGGTGGTTTCCAAAGCCCAGCTCCGATAAGTCAGGCTCAACTCACTTCTCCTGCCCTATTTGCTCAGTTTTCTGGAAAGTGTTAGCCTTGGGCATTGCCTGGTCTTTTGCCTGTTCATCTAAGGGAGTCTCCAGGTCTCCCATGACTCATCTGCCATCCTGAGACCCATCTTTCTCTTAACGCCAGGAGCAGGTCTCTTGCTTTGCTTGTCTCAAGGTTCCTGCTCTTTGAGACACTCCCAGACTGCGGGGTGAGCTGTAGCTACTTTCCAGGGCTGAGAAGACTGACATGCCCAAACACAGAGAAGCGGCAAGGCTGTCCTCACTCAGGTTGTATCTGACTCATAATTCAGGGTCCTCCTCCAAGAGGTCTTCCAGTATCTATCATTCAAGAGCTCAAATACAAAAATGCTTTATGTTTAAACAACAGCAAGCAAGCTTTGCCAAGGGAGAGGAAAACAGTTTCCTAACACTGTGTTAAAGGAGCTGCCAATTTCTCTCCTTAACAGCCTTACAGTCCATTTGTATAGATAGAGCAAACATTTACAAACGTCATGTTGAATACTTAAATAAGAACACAGGCAGCATCAGAAACTGAGGTAACAGCATTAGAGGTAGGACAAGCCTGGAGATGATCAACCTTTGAGTGCATGCTGAGTGCTACACATTTAGAGGGGAGCGTGGCCATTATGTATACAGACTCACCCAATACACAAGTTAATCTAGGTTGTTCTTTCCAAAAATTCTCCAAACCCTGGCCTGGGCTGCTCTTCTCTGCTCTGCTGCAGCAGGGGGTGGGGAGGGGAATGGGCTTGCCAGTCAATCAAAGTCACTGGGAAAAGGGATAAGGAGAACATTGTTCCCAGTGTTTGAGATAACCTTAATTTGGAAGAACTTTTTTTAAAAAAAAAAAAAATCTTAAAACATTATCCTCTATGCCATCTCATTCCTTTCTCTTCATCCAATCTCTTTACAGGATGAGATCATCCATGTTACATCTGTGGCACTACCCAATCTGAATATGCATTTGAAACCTCCTCTCCAGTATGCCTGCAGGCCATACAGAAAGCCCCAGGACACAGTGCCCATCCCTGTCTGATCACTGCCCACACAGACACCTCTCACCCCACGGGGCCAGTGCCCATCTGGCACCAGCAGCCTCTACTTCCCTCCAAACCCACTCCTTCCTCTATGCACAACCCTGCCTGGCCCGGCTTTGCTTGGTCTCCCCACCCACCCTGACCAATGCTGACCATCAGGAGACATGCATCATTACTGCAGGCCTGTTGGCACACACATGTGATGGCCTTATGTTGAAGGCCTAACTAGGGAGCTGGACATCAGTGCACACAGAGGCATGGTGGGGACAGAGTCATCGATGGCCTGGGTAGCACATCTGCTGTCATGGGCACTGGAGAAGGCCCAGGGCTAACTTTAAGTTGTCATCCACCTGTGGTTCCCAGAGTGGTTGCCAGGTCACCGTGCTCAGCTCGGAGTCCATCTGCAGATGGATAATGGTACTATCCTTCCTCCTAATCACTCAACCCTGGCACTTCTTATAATTAACCGTTATCTGGGGAACCGCGCCTTCTCCTCTCCTGCCATCGGAAGGAGCTCTGGTCATTAACAAGTGTCCTCTACAAAGGAAGAGGGCTGAGCTGGAAACACCAGAAAAAGAAGAACCTGGAAGTGGGATGCCCTCCTCTCATCTCAAGCTCATCGGCACCAGCACCAGAACACAGGATGCAACAGGACAAAGAGAAACCAGCTTCCGCAAGACAGTCAGGCCTCTTCCCTCAACACATCCCATATTTTCACTCAGAAACACTGCTCGTGGGGCAGAAGATTCGCATACTAGCACCCCTTGCTCAGTAGTATTTGAAACAGTGTATAGTAAGAGGCAGCCAAGCCATGAAAAGCAAGGACATTCCAATGCAGAGCACTGATTTGTCCCAACGTGGTCTGGTCGTTGTGGGTTTAAAAATGCGCACAACCTGGCCACAAAGCTGCAACCCCAAAATGCAGACCATCAAGGTGCACAGACAGGGACCCTGTTTTGTCCTCCGTCTGTCCCCTCTGCCCCACAGTGACCAGACAGGAGATGGCCGCTGATGGCATGGACATGGCTGGGGCCTCCTGCCTCTGCTCAGTGGTCCCTCCTGGGATATGTTTCCTCCATCCACTCCAGTGAAAGTCCCACTTAATCTTCATGGCCCATGTCAAGCGTCACTGCCTCTCTCATGCTTTGCTGCAAACTAAAGCCCTTCTCTGGGCTCCCAGGCGTTTTGCCCAGTCCTGCCTCTGTCCTCCTGTGCCCAGTGCCTCCTTGTGCCTTTGCTTTGTGTAGACACGCACAAGATGACCTCGCAGGCTCTAAACCTTGGAGGCCAGGGATGCCTTACTTTATGTTTCTATCTTCAGAGGTGATCTGACACCATGCAGGAAGTGGTAGTCACAGGGACACAGTAGATGACCAATAAACACTAGGTTAATCAAGAGCCAAATCAATGGGCAACACTGAGGCGCATCTCAAATCTGTCATTGTGGGACGGCGCTGCCCCAAAATGCCACCTTCTTCCCTCAGGTGGGCACGGGAGAAGCCCCTGCACATAAGTCCACCTCCCACATCAGAGAGAGTCTTGATCAACGGATTCCAAAAAACAGACACAAACCTAAGTAGATAAATAACAGAACAAAAGAGAGCTGAGGAAAATAAGATGCAATCTGGTCTGAAATATTTAATTCACCCATGCAAAGAAATGTAATATTTTGCAGCTCGTCTCATAAGGCATGGACATTTTTCATGGTAGAACAAGAGCACTACATTCTATACTTGGTGATTTCCTATTATGCATCAGAGTCTGCAGTTTCAAAAGGGCACATGATTACTCATAATTATTTCTTCTTTTCTTCTTGACTTGTATTATTGGCTGATGAACTCTTGAGTTTCTCATTGAATTCCCTTCTTTTATATAATAAGTCTGGCATACGGCGACTCCTCCAAGTTATACATAATCATTCTGATAGAGGTTATAATGACCTGAGAAAGCTAGGGTTTCTGCTGGAGATTTAATTTCTCTAATTGACTTGCATTTCCCAGAACTGCTGGATTAAAAAATGATGGAAGATCTTGCTGTCTAATATGATTTACTCTAATACATAC